TATATATATCCTTACAGAGTTATATAACTAGACCCACCCACGGCGTTTTTCAATTGACGTGTCGTTTATCACATGATCTTTCCAGGTTATTTCAATATTTAATTCTCTTATTTTTCAAGATAGTCTGATTTGTGTGATCATTGAACAAAGGGAAATAACCCCTGTCAATGTGTTGGGCAACACGTTCTTGGCACTAAAAGGAAAAAAATAACGAAATCCAGGTATCTTTTATTTAGAAGGGTGATGGTTTAGGCGGTAAAAGTATTGTATTGTGTAATAAGAATGTTTATACTTTACGTCTGTCTTTGTACAATTGTCTTATATTTACAATGGCAAAGAAGATATCAGGAAGCTAGGTGCATCTTGTTAATTAGAATGAATAATGAAATAATAGTCGTAACTATATTTTACATGTCATAACTATATTCATTTCCTTCAATTCTAATTACATTACATAAACCATTGATTGGTTTAAACATTTCCAATATAATAATCTACCCCTGTGTGAAAATCAATCCCTTATTGTGTCACGCGTCATTTACCCAAATCAGAATGTGAGACCGAAACTTTGCACGACTGGCACGTTTATTAAAATAACCACTGCAACTTTTATTAATATATAATGTCGATATAAGCCTTTCTTTCTATCAATCTGAAACGATTTTAGTATAATTCATCTCCCAGGCACGAAATGATTTACAAAATTATAAGTAGCCTACATTGTTTAAAATTGTCACGTACAACCGTGGAATCGAAACTATGCTAGTTGACCCAATGACTGCCTTATGATACAACCCGCACGCGCTACCCCCCCCCCCATTATATTAAAATGCAATTAAATTAAACAAAATTACAATTTACAAATCTGATATGACAAAAGTCTGATGTGTAAAACAAATATTGACTTTAAGATACAGATGTTAATTATAGTATACAAATGTCGATATACGACAACAAATAAAGAAATAACAATTAAGGACTACATGAATTAAGAACTAAGAATTTAGAACACTGAATAAAGAGCTGTTTGTCTTCCATATATCCCGGTGTGAAAGTTTGGATCGACTCCCGGTGTGTGTTTGCTCCTGGGCACTAATTGTGCATGTCCACTCCCGGTGTGTGTTTGCTCCTGAGCACTTGTGCATGTCCGAAACTATTGTTTACTAAAACAACAGAACTATACCTATTTCTATTTATATATTTCTATGAGTGATCGGTTTAGGGAAAAGGTATTACGTGTTTGGTTTTTCTTTTTTATTTCTTTGAGTCATACGACTCATCAGATAGACACATACAATATAAATACATAAATATTTTACACAATAAGTAAACAAATCAGGTTATGTACAAAATTTTACATATGTATAGTATGGGCAGCAGGCGACTTGAGAAATGTTAATGTGCAACATTCAATAAATTATTCCTTCTTTTATTACAGTAATATAAAAATAATGCAAGATTATTTAATTCTTTAATATTATGAACACTTAGCAGTTGAGTTAATTTATGAACACTAGGATTTCGAATATAATAATTCTTTATATATTTTTTACGAAGATCGGAGAATACAGGACAAATTACAATATGGTGGTATTCGTCTTCAATATCATTTGATTTACAAAGGTTGCAGACTCTGGCTTGACGGGGTGTATTTTTAAAACGGCCAGATTCGATGTGTAAACAATGTGCAGATAGCCTTATTCTAGAGATATATGTGATATAATTACAATTTAAAGGTTTCGAAAGATAATATTGAAGTTCGAAGGTAGATATGAGATGCTGATATAACATACCTTTAGGAGATGTACATATAGATTAATAGCATTGTTGTTTAAAGACATCAAATATTCTATTTTTAAAAATAATATAATCCAATTTAGTTAAGTTTTGATAATTATCCCACATATAACCCAATCCCAAAGAACATAATTCATTTTTAAGATTTAAAATCCATGGATCTGAGTTGTTAATTATATCAAATAAACAACACTTTAAAACAACATTATTGGTAGAACATAATTTTATAAAATATTTGAAAATTCGAAGTTTTCGTGTTATTGATAAAGGATATCTCCCTAGCTCATGATACACCATGGAACTGTTTGTAGTTTGCCGAACTCTTAAGATCCGTTTACAAAAATATAAATGGATTTTTTCTATATCTTGTCCTTTGTGGAACCCCCAGATTTCAGAACCATAGCATAAAATGCTATTTACATACGTATCAAATACAGATAATTTGGTTTCAACATTAAAATAATTTTCATCACAAACTTTGAAGACAGAAAATGATGCTTTCCTACCCTGTTCAGACAGATGTTTTTGTGTTTTTAAAAATTTACCATTATAGTGTAATAAAAGGCCTAGATAATTGAATTCATTTACAATTTCGAGATTAAAATTAAGATATCGCCAAACCTGATTCGTGGGTATCTTACCCCCGCTTCTGAAGACAACAACTTTCGTTTTGGCAGTGTTTACCGTTAAATTCCATTTGTTTGCATATGTGTGCAAGGAGTCTAATAAAGTTTGTAAACCAATAGCTGTTTCAGAGATAAGGACTTTGTCATCAGCATACATTAAAGAAAATAAATTTAGCCACATTAATGGAATTGATGGACAATTTGAATCTTTAAAGTGTGTTTCAACATCATTAATATAAATAGAGAATAGAAGCGGTGATAAAATTTCACCTTGAAAAAGACCAGTTGCACATTCAAAAATATCAGATACATCATTATTTAGTTTTACACAACATTTAACTTTATCATAGAGAGATCAAATAACAGTTAGTATTTTACCATCAATACCATTTTTTATTAATTTATACCATAAGTTGCACCTGTTGACCAGTTCAAAAGCTTTTGTGTAATCGACGAAGCAACAGTACAGTTTTTTCTTGTCTCTGAGGTAACGATTTATGAGAGATTGTAATACAAATATGGCATCAGTAGTCGACAGATTCTTGCGGAATCCAAATTGTGTCGGGGTAATACATTCATTTTGTTTGTCAAATTCTAAAAGCCTATTACTAAGTACAGAAGTGAACAGTTTACCAAGACAACTCACTATGGTTATGCCTCTATAATTATTTGGGTCATCCTTAATACCTTTCTTAAAAACTGGAGTGATTCTGCCAATACACCAATTAGATGGAAAACACCCAGAGTTTAAAATATTGTTAAATAATTCAGTTAAACAAGGAACAAGATTAGAGTTTTGTCATTAATAAACATAATTGTTATCGTGATATACAGTGATTGGCTTCAAATTGATACTTCTATCGTTCGTGATTTGTTGCCGTTGTTTTTTCACAATCAGAGGAAACCATATTGGTTCATTCAAAATCTTTGGAAACACTCATTGAAAGGCCTTGGACGTGGTTTAGTGTACTGAAAAGTAATTAAATTTCTTGAAAATGTCCTGAAATCTCTTTTTTTTCTTTGCAACAAAAAATGAGGCGGTCATTCTTGTCATAAAAAAACTTATTTTTCATCTATAAGCCTACTATCATGTATTCATAAACCTTTGTATGTGTTTTGTACATACATGTATTTTCTTAATATCATCCACTTTTTATGTATTTTTCATTTGTGATATTATGTCGTAATATAATATATAATTTCCATGCAGTCCGAATAGGGTGTTTTACGTAATAAACATTTATCTATACAACTATCCTGGATTAAACCAGTAGCTTAACGTTAGGCTCCTTGTGATTTGAGTAATCTCGAACATGAGCTTTGAAAAGCCATTGAAGGTCCTTTCTATATGAACTATATGAATTATTATTAAGTCTGTAATTTTTTGATTATTGTTCTTATTAATTTTGTAGTGCTGAATAAATGAAAAATAACATGATCGGGGATCATTTTCCAATGGTTATTTGTAGATATTTTTAGTTTGTTTAAAACTTTTTGTTGTTTATTTGTGCTAAAATAATTGACTATTTTGCTGATCGAATATTGGCTTTTAGTGCTTGACTTAAATTTTGATTCCAAAATTTTTGGCACATCTCTGTATCATTGTTATTGTTGTTATTGTTGTTTTCTATAACTTAAATGTTGTAGAAAATGAAAAACACGCTCTTTTAGTGTGTCCGATATATAGTGATATTCGATATGATCTAATATCGGAAATCAATAAATTAGATCATACTTTCAATGAAATGAATTTTAATCAAAGATTCAAGTTCATACTGAATTGTAACTCGTTTCAACAAAGTCTGGGAAATTACTTGTTTAAGATGATGAACCGAAAGCAGTCTCTGAAAACTTTTGTGTAACCCAAACAAAACGTTAGAATATAATATCCGCTGAAGTTTGAGTTTTAAGTGAAAAGTATATTTTATTGAACTAAAAGAATTAAATATGTTTTATGTAGTCGTGTCTCGTAGGTCAATTATGGCCAAAAATCATTCTAATTTTATTATTATTTTTTAACATGATATTATGTTTTTAGCTGTATAGAATGATTTGTGACACTTTAATAAATAAATTATTATTATTATTATTATTTATTAAAATTTTAACAACTTCTCAATACAGCCCATATATAGTGTTTAATAACTCAAATAGCCTATAAGCCTTTTGTCATGCAAACCATGGTACTTAAATCTGAAAACACTAGTTTTTTAACATGATTTTTTTCTCACCATCTCCTACACTTGAAGAAAATAAAGGACAGTGGTAAGAAATACTCTTGTAAACTTGGGTTCAAATATGTATTCAAATCGGTATAATAATATATTTAAAGATCGTCGAATCTATATGTATTTTAGAAGATTTAAAACTTTTTATTGAAATAAACCTGACACCCTATACTAATGGTAATACCGTAAATCTAGGTAGATATTTATAGTGTAGAAACCGTTTTAACCGTAAGAAAACCCGCGCAATGTTAAGAGAAATGGTTTTGACCAAAACTAAGTCAACGGAGAAAGAAGTTAATGGATGCAGATCTAGTGTTTAAAGGGAGACAACCACAAAATGAACAAGGGAGATAATTTGGAGAACATCTGTCGCCTATCTTGAGGCTGAAAAGTGCAAAATGAATTCGCTCGAGCTGCTAAATTTGCTACAACTGTCAGACAGTGGTAAGGTGGATACTCTTTATATTAATAATGAAATAGGTTTTTGATATTCAACGAATGAAGAGGCATAGCCTTTACAATTCAGATATATTAATCAACAAATTATCTCAGGTGTGACAAGGTTATCATTGACGTATGGAAACCAATTAATGCCATAAAGATTTTCATTTTCTGTTTTCTATGGTTACTGACATATTTTTAATGGTTAGATGGTATATCGATATCCTTTTCTTTTTTAGCTTTTCCAATCGGAAGTTTTTCACATAGCTGTGGCCTAGAATCTGCTGTTCAACATGGTCTAATCAAGTCAAAGGGTAGTAAGACTTTAAATTCTAGACCAATGTTAGATGTCAAAAGTAGTAAAATAACACTATAACTATTAGAAGTTTAAATTGAAAATGCGTTAGAGAGCCTAAAATGCTAGTTACTGATACCTTGTCTTTTACTAACCCCGACACATTTCATCCTGCACTCAATCGATAAAATGATGTCTATATTCTCAAAGCGTACGGTGTGCTGATAAAAATAATAACAACTCTTCAATAGTATATTTGTACATTAACACCATAACACCATAATTAAAAAAAAAATACATAATAAATTATTCAAGTGTTTACGGTCACCATACTATTGTGTATAATAATCAGCAGTGTGCCCAGAGCTCGATGACAGTTATGTAGGGGGGGGGCAGAATCCGGAGCTTACCGTGTAGTGACCCCCAAAGAAAGTTTTGGAAAATTTGACGGCCGCAAATGCGTTTTCCTGCTATTTAAGCCACTGAATACAGAAACTTCAATGTGATCTAATATAGCGTAATTAAGATGGCTGACTCGAATTCCAATCAACCAAACAATCGTTTACAGTCCATGGAGACCGTACTGTCGGGAGAAAATTTTGAAAATTTAACAGCTGTAAACGCGTTTTCCTTCTATTTCAGTCTGTGAATACAACAACTTCAATGTGGTCCAATACAACTCACCATTGGTGGCTGACCTAAACCCCCAACAATCAATTAATCGTCGCGGGGTATGGGGGCTTCGACCTCCAGGAGAAAATTTTGAAAATTTAACTACCGCAATTATGCGTTTTATTAGATTTCGGGCCCTTTATATTTCCAACTAGATGGAATAATAATAATTTTTATTTTCACTTTACCCGTCCGCCCGAAAAGTCAGATTGCCCCCACCCCCCACCCCCTGGCTCGTAAATTTCGTAATGTATACACCACGTTTAATAAATGTATGATTGATAACGTCAAACCTACTTAAAAGCATTCGGTATGTGGTATTATTTGTTATTTCAGATAACTTAAGAAGTGTTATAGTTGCTTGTTTAGAAAACACAGGTGAGAGAAGACATATGTTTTAATAATTGAATTATTTTTAATACAAATGACAATTTAGTCGACCATTTCTGAATCACTGGTACATGGCTACTAAAGCCCTTTAAAGCACTTAATTCCCTTCTTTCACGTCATTAAAAAACATAATAATCTTATCCCTAACTTTGGAATTTTAATGGCACTTTAATACCCAGACTTCCTCTTCGTTACGACATTACATACAAATCTTCTAATTTAGATAAAATAGCTTTTAAAACAATAAACAAAAAGATGCAACGCCATTTTATTTTGGACGCAGAAAAACATCAATTCTTGGATTATGGCCCCTGATTGTAAGAAATATCACGTTTTCGTTTTAGCTTGTTCTCTATCCACCTCTTGCAAAATATGGGCTTATCTTGCCTGGCAACCACTGGTGAATTATTATTTTAGTTTAGATTCTGTTCAGTCTTCATTAGTCCATCTGGTGCACAAAGTAGGACTTTAAACCCCATTTCATTTTATGTTTTGTTGATTGATTATTGTTATCTTACAGGATCTTTTAGTTTACCCTTTGTTACTGAAGCTTATAATAAAAGTGCGGACTCAGAGGAGATTCAAAGATTAGATAATTTTCATCATATATCTGTATCTAATCATGTAGCTAACAGAGCCTCAAGTAAACAGGTTAGTCTGTATTTTCTATTATTCAATTTAGCCATATAATTATGGAGCCGAATCGTCATATTAAGAGAAAAAATAATGCTTAACATTGCAAAATTATCATTGTAAAAATGGCCATTTTCGAGATTTTTCAAATGTAAATATTACATTACACAAAATCACTATATTAGTATCAAAACAAAACAGAAAATCTAGTAATGTTTTTTCACTTTCTACTTTTCGCCTTCGCAAATTCACTGTAACTATATCATCTTTGCATTTTCAACTATCAGAATTTCTCCAATGTATTTTCCACCACCAAAATTTCTTCAATTGAACAGACAGACGGCGTGGTTCCAGGTTCAGCCGAAGTTGACGCCATAAGACGTCAGTCTTTATCGTCTCGGGTAAACTTACTGCGCTATAGGTTCCCAGAAAAGTATTTATCGGTTGGTTATTTCCAATAAAGGTATGAAAATTTTGGTATATATGGAAAGTAGAGATATCCAATCTTACTAGAAAAATACTGGATTCCCTGAAAAACACTCATGGAGCCTATACAGGACAAAACTGTAAGGGTACCCCTAATCGACAGCCCGACGATTAGGAATACCTGCACGCGTGACGTCGAAGGTTGCACGCGGAGATTGAGCGCTTGGTGTACATGTTGATAAACTTTATGAAGAGTTAGACGTACAACAATTTCTGAGATAAAAATCACGGAAAAAGTCGCGGGCAGTGGATAATCCGAGAATTTAATTAGGATTCGATATTTGTAATAATTAGTCAGCGATTAAAGACAACACCGTCTTGTGTATACAATGAATTCTCCCCCGACTTCACCCCCGTTGCTATAGGTACCGAGAGAGGTAAGTCACGTGGCACAAACATGACCTCTTTTGATCGATTTTTATAGCAGGGTATTCCTTGGCAATTACAATGTTTTGAGAAGTATTTGAAGCAAAATTATGATAAATTAATTAGTTTGAATATGTTTTTAGTCCAAATATATCATTATCTTTAAGATTTTGGCCGATTTTATTGATTATTTTTTTGGGAAAAAATAAAAATAAATTTGTTGTCATGTCGAACAACTTTTTGTTTAATGAATTATATCATCGAACCTTGAGGTTGACTCATTTTCTTAATAGGATGGACGAATCTTTGACAGCACATCGACATGAATGTGAGCGAATTGCCTGACTGCCTTAATCAATAAATAAGAAATGCAAACAAGACATGTTTCGCCAGGAAGAGTTGATCCGCTGATTGGCCGTTTGTCCTCGATTTCTACAGATCTATGTACAAATGTATCGATCCTGGGCCTGTGTAGTGGCTGTAGGACGACCTGAACGAGGTCTATCATCAACCTTGTGTGTTTGTTGGTACCGGTTCCACATTTTGCTGATCACAGACTGTGACACATTAAGCATGTTGGCTACTGCGCGCTGTGTAGAACCAATTTGAAGCATGCCAATAGCACGCATGGGCGTCACACATGGAGGGGTCCCGGGGGGGGGGGGGTCCTACCCGGCGACCCCCTCAATTGTTTTTCGGGGGGGGGGGGGGTCTGAATATACCTGCCCCCCCCCCCCAAAAAAAAAAAAAAAAATTTTTTTTTTTACTAGTAGGCCCTAACTCTTGTTTATATACAACAATTATTAGGATTAGTTAAGGTTCTATCTGTATAAAACAATGTACAAATTAAAACACAAACACTTATGTTTACTTTTTGAAATCCATTTATAATACACAAAATACTTTACATATCTATACAGCTTTCTTGTAAATGTCAATGTGTATATGTATATAGTATTGTAGTTAACAAAGTGATCAAGTTTTGTTTCATTTGTATCCTCCTCATAAAAATTCCCCATCTAAACTCTCTTTGTCGTGTTATTCATAACTCAAGCGTAACATTCAATATGTAAAAGTCATGAAAAAAATATGAATACGACACCCCCTGACTTAAACATGATAAACATTGTATAGGTGTGATGTTTTAGTTTAACCCCGTAAAATATGCCAGAAAAGTGTTTACAGAAGATTGAAAATTAAATTATTTTTTTTATGGTGGTTGACCCCCCAATGAGAGACTGACCCTCCCACACTCTCCCTATCACGCTACATTGGCTGCTGGGCAGGCGCCTCCGGCATCACAGATTGTCAACATTTTATATAATTTCATTTGCGGACCCCCCTAATATATATTTCACGGCTACGCCTCTGATAGCATGTAGACGTTCATCATGTTGAAGACGTCTCATTGTAAATTAAACGTAACACACTAAAGCAAAGATACGCTAAACAGTAAATATTATGCAAGAACCGGTAGGAAAGCAAACATGGATAGGATAAACCAGAACGCGGCAGTTTTCATCAACCCTTCCTTGAAGTGTCAAATATGACAATGAACCCCTCCCACGTGTATGGCGCCATTGCGTGTCGCACTTGCAGCTCAGTGGTTCTGTTGTGGCGATAAGTTCTTCATCTGTGAACATACTCTTAAGGCATGTCAAGTGTCCGTGACTATTTATTACATCACAACCTGCATAGGTATTTGCATTTCAATGTCCCCTACTTTTTTTTAACAGTATATAATTTATTATTCAGCAGGTGTTTTTTAAGTCAAAATCCGGTATAGCGGAGTGGATCCATCCACTTGATTTGATATATACGTTTGTTGCTTATTGTTTGAAATATATGTGTAGCCCATATTGTGTGTCGTGTCTACAGGTTTGTCTTGTGTAATTGTGTGATGTAGTCCTCCTGGGCCCTTATTCACGAAAACTTAAACTAAGATACAATCGAAATTTTAAGAAATACTGCAATTCGATTGGCTGACCAATATGCAAATTGGATATATACAAATTGATTTTACTGGTCAGCCAATCGAATTGCAGTATTTCTTAAAATTTCGATTGTATCTTAGTTTAAGTTTTCGTGAATAAGGGCCCAGCTCTTACGATTCACTCAGCTAACCGAAGAACTCTGAATGCCTTAGTCGCTTATATCAACGTAGATTTATGACGTCGTGTGCCCATTTCAGGGAGCATAAATTTCAGCCAAGACGATAAAAACAGATGAGTTTTAACGTCAACTTCGGCCGAACTCGGAAACACGCCCCTTTCCTTATATGGTCAGTTAGATTTCAGTTAGTTGAAAATGCAAAGATGAAAAATTTACAGTGAATTTGCAATGGCGAAAAGTATATCGTTAATATTTGTCGAGTAATTTTTGTTTTGATACTAATATAATGATTTTCATGATATTTACAAGTGAAAAATCTCGAAAATGGCCATTTTTTTACATTTTGACTAATTTTGCAATCATAACCATGATATTTTCTATAAATATAACAACAATTCGACACTATATACAATGGGATTGTGTACATATTGCATTTCGTAGCTATAGTGAAACTGTTGCGAATATTGTATTATAAATAGTATTATATTTAATAATGGAACTGTTTTTCAGGGCAAGTCTTTGTTAAGAACAGTTGTACAGGTTTATCAATTTGATGAGTTAATATCATTATCTAAACACCTTCAACATTGTCATTATGCTGTTCTGTTTGGTGTGACATTCTCAGTAGTTGGGATGGACTTAAAAACAACCCAGGCTGCTTTTATGTCTGGTGTTTTAAGAACTATAATTTCTAGTGCTGTTAGATTAGATCAAATTGGACCAATTGAGGTAAGATATGCACTCAGAGGACATAAATAGAGGACAATGATAATGCTGCATAATTATATTTTTACAAACATAAACGACTTTACCTGCGCCCTATGGAAGACCAAACAGCTCTTTATTCAGTGTTAGTAATTCTTAGTTCTTATTTCATAGTCCTTAGTTCTTATTTCTTCATTTGTTGTCGTATTTGGACATTTGAATACTAAAATTGACATTTGTATGATTTTAAAAAATCAATATTTGTTTTAGAAATCATACATTTTGTCATATCACGTTGGGGGTAGGGGTGGGTGTATTTAATGTCAAAACACAGTTCTTAATACGAAATTCGTGATATCTGTTCATGTACTGCTGGAAAGTATGTTTATTGTTTGCTTCATGAATGTAAATGATTTTCCGTCACATTACAATTTACATACTTCGAGAAAAGATCAAAGTTGGACGATGATTTGAGCGGGGGGGGGGGGGGGGGGGGAGGGGGCTTAATGGCACAATACGAAATTCCAGATATCACACTGAATACCACTGAAAAGAAGAAAGTTCATTTATCTTTTAAAAAATGTAACATTCATATTTACGTTCCGTGGTAAGGGTATTAAAGTTGGATGGCGTTAAACACTATTAAGTAACTTGGAGCGGGGGGGGGGGGGTGAAATCAAAATACGGGTCTTAATACGAAATTCGTGATCTCCTTTTTTACTACTGGAAAGTAGCCTATTTTTATTCTGGCACATTCAGATTTACGTACCTTGCAAACAGATCAAATTTGGATCGTACTGAACTCTATTTAGTGACAGGGGGGTGGGGGTATTTAAAAGTCAAAATAAGGATCTTAATAAGAAATTTCAGTTATCGTGTAATGCATCACCCGAAAAGTATTTTGATATCGCTCTTTCATGGCACATTCATGATTACATAATTCAGAAGAGATGAAACCCTCTTTCGTTTGAGGGGGGGGGGGAGTCGGATGGCCGAATGGTTAGCACGTGCGTGCTGTATCGTAAGGCCTGTCATTGAGTCAACCGGTGTGGTTTCCATTCCCCGTTTGTAGGTGACAAGGAGTAGGGTCGCCTGTCCATCCTCGTGGGTTTTCTCCGGGTCCTCCGGTTTCCTCCCACTGCTAAAGACCTCTACGGGCAAGCGAATTATTGAAATAAAATTAAAAATACCATATGTTAGTCCAGAAATGACCTAGTTTGTGTCGAGTGGACGTAAAACCCCATTTCTCTCTCTCTCTGTTTCGTTTGAACAAAGAAATATGTCGCTATCAGACAGTGAATTAACTACTAAAAATAGACTACTTTCAATTTATTTTATTTATCGAAGGCTCGGATTAGCCGTACCACACATGTGATTTCACTACCGTTGCAGTCATCCAGCGAATAGTCTTGTATGCTGGTTTTAATTCCCCATTCAGGTTAGATGAATTTGGAGAAATGTTTCTTGACAATGGTTGTCCGAAATCTGTTTTTCGTTGTATGCTTCTGATGAAATGTAATTGTGATTTTCTAAAAAAAAAAAAAAAAAAATCTTTATTAAAACAAATTTTGATTTTAAGATACAATTAGTTTTAGTATAGATGTTTAATATACGACAACAAATGAAATAATTATTAAGGACTAGGAATTAAGAACTAAGAATTAAGAACACTGAATAAAGAGCTGTTTAGATTTCCATTATAGCTCCCCACTTTAATGTACATTTTACATTAAAAACTATATCTTGTTGAGAAAACATTCATACTCCCTTTTGCTACATTCTGTCTTCTAGTATTACAACTCACTCTTTTGACTTCTTAGTTCTATATTAACTATTCCTTAAATATTAAACAACGGTCCATGTCGCCCCTTTTGTTGGTAGGTCCTTCGTCATTTTACCACACTACCTTTTTTATACACAGCTTAATCCTACATGTTTAATATAATTTATTCCTGAAATTAAAACATCTTTCTGTCTCTTCTTGCCTTGGATACTTTCTCTATGACTTTATATGTGCGCCATTTCCTTTATCGTCTTTATTTTTTTCTCACCAATGTCTTGAATTGCTCCGTGATCGGGGTTACTTGTTCTTAACACCTCGTTTCAGTAGGAATATACACATTGTATGTATAATTTACAGGCGCAGAAAATACAACTAGATTTACTGACCATCATTCCAGATATAATTCTAAGGTAGGTAAATTACATGATATTGTTTGTAACTGGATTCAACCAAAAACTTTTAATTGCAATATGTTTCTAAAATTGTTGTCTTCATTTTTGAACAATTCTAGCATTTTAAAACTATGTAACAGGGCTTATAGTGAAGCCTATGTCATACGGTCCTGAGTTGTTACAACACAATGAAACCTAAATACTTACATTCTGATCCAATGTATCTGATATATCTTTATGGTGTGGATACGCTAATATATGTCAGTTTGTTATATGTGATCCTCTTATAGGATTCCATGTCATGATTGTGTTTTTTTTCTTCCAGAAATGATAACAAAACCTCGGCTGACGCCTCGATTAAATCACCAATACTTGATATTTCACAGAATTCACACGATACTCTCTTCTCTAAATTGTTTTATTCCTGAAAGTAGTTTGACTAAAGAAATCAGTTAACCAATGAACCTGATATGCGGTACTCAAATCATATCGTTGGTGTGCTTGCTCTACAATAATTGGGTGATACGAAGCATGTACAGTTTTCAACCTGTGAAAACCCTCATCTAATGAAGCTATATAATTATAATGTCTTATCAAAGAATATTAGTCTCTAATTTTTTTCTCAATTTTCAGCTGGATCTCAATGAAATATTTCACTTTCTCCATAGAACCATAGATGCCTATTTTAATACGTCCACAAATTTATTATCATATCGTTCATGTCTGCGTATGGGGGGGGGGGGGGGTCGTAATTCTGAACGGGTCGTCTTAAAACTATGACTTGGTTATTCCTTATACCTCAAGGATGACGCCTACTGGTTGCGGTGCATCTTGGAACTTGGCATAGTTATAACTTATACCCTGTTGATTTTGGTCCAACAGGAGCGGTGCAACACCCATTTTTTTGGTTAATATTTTGTCTGTAAATACTCTACAGTATTAACAGACTTTGTTCGATTTTGGGCATATTCAATCATTCTAATAACATTATCCACGATATTATGGACAGGTTGATTTAATTAAATTTTTTACATATGAAAGAGTAATAACCACGGGTAAAATCATAAAAAACGGGCCATTTTCTCCCTTCATAATAAAACCAGGCTAAAACAGGAGGTGTACCTGATTGGTGTTTGGTATCATCAATGCACATAGAAAAGAACCCGCGTGGATAAGCGAAATTCTCGCAGGAAAAAACCCCACATAGCTGAATCTGTGGATTATTTACAAATAAAAAACTGTTAATTAGGAACCAACAGACCTGTTTTTATACGCCCACATTTTCATGTGGACGTATATTGTCGTCGCCCCTGTCCGTCCGTCCATAATTGTTTGTGAACAGTCTACAGGTCACAATTTTTATCCGATTTCAATGAAACTTGAAATATAGGTTTATCACCCTAAGATCTCGGTTCCTTTCGATATTGGCATCTATCGGACCGTAACTTCATGGATTATGGCCCCTGATTGTACGAAAAATCACGTTTTTGGCTTGTGAACACTGTAGAGGTCACAATTTTTATCCGATTTTGTTGAAACTTGAAATGTAAGTTTATAACCCAAAGATCTCGGTTCCTTTCGATATTCGCGCATATCGGACCGTAACTTCCTGAATTATGGCCCCTGATTGTACATAAAAACGCATTTTTTGGCTTGTGGATCCTATAGAGGTCATAATTTTTATCCGATTTAAAAAAACGTTTTATTATATCACCGTTAAACCCTAAGGACGGTTGAGTTCGAATTTCGTGAAAATCAGTCCAAAACTGACAGATAAAATTTTTATCCGATTTTGTTGAAACTTGAAATGTAAGTTTATAACACAAAGATCTCGGTTCCTTTCGATATTCGCGCATATCGTACCGTAACTTCATGAATTATGGCCCCTGGTTGAACGCAAAAACGTGTTTTTTGGCTTGTGGACCTTATAGAGGTCATAATTTTTATCCGATTTAAAAAACCGTGTTAATATATCACCGTTACACCCTAAGGGCGGCTGAGTTTTTGTTGAAACTTGAAATGTTTGTTTATAACAGAACGATCTTGGTTCCTTTCGATATTCGCGCACATCGGACCGTAACTTCATGAATTATGGCCCCTTATTGTATGACAAATCGCGTTTTTAGCTTTTGGACCATATAGAGGTCATAATTTTTATCCGATTTAAAAAAACGTTTTATTATATCACCATTAGACCCTAAGGTCGGTTGAGTTCGAATTTCGTGAAAATCGGTCCAAAACTGACAGATAAAATGGCCGCCGTTCGTTCTCAAATAGTGTAAAAATATGGTATATCAAGGTTGTGGACCCTATAGAGGTCACAATTTTTATCCGATTTTGTTGAAACTTGAAATGTAAGTTTATAACCCAAAGATCTCGGTTCCTTTCGATATTCGCGCATATCGAATTGTAATTTTCTGAATTATGGCCCTTGATTGTAGGAAAAATCACTTTCGTTTAGCTTGTTTTCTATCCATCTCTCGAAAATGTGGGCGTATACTGCCTGGCAGCCGCTGGTTTTATGTTTAAAAAACCTCAGACTTGGTATTTAGACTGGCGGTCGACTGAACTACATTCCACAAAGTCTGCTCGTACCAGGAAACCGTTTGTTGACACAATGTTTTTCCGAGAATAAGTGTTCATACTGGTCATACCTCCTGATGCTTTGACTTTGTTATCAAGTTTGGCAAACTGCGATTCGCACCCTAAGTTCGTGAGTGACGCGTATTTCAATTTATCAAAATCGACGAATTCAGTTTCTAGCTCGCAATCGAAGAAGTCCATTTCACTCAATTGCCTGTTGATGGTAACTAGCACTTCCTCTAACACAGCACCTATCAGTTTTCCTTTACCAGTTGATGTTCTGGAGAAGTCTGCACTGAGTTTTCTCAGTTTGTCGACTTTTTCATTGAAAGAGTGGAATGCAGTTCAGTCGACCGCCAGTCTAAATGGAAATGGGCCAGAAACTCAAACGAAGTCAAACTAGTAAAACAACTAGAGAGGGACTTTCTTGAAAATGTAAAACTGATGAAAACTTTGGCAATCAATCGGAAAGATTAGTTGAAAAAAAAGAAAGTTCTGAAGACCTTACAGCTCCTAAGTACTTGTAAGAAACACGGTGGACCTGTAACACCGGAGAATATGAACATCCTCAAACAGCTAACAGACAAAGAACTCCTCTCCGAGATCGCCTACATTCGTGCTACAATTGCTAATGATATCAGACAGAAACGGAGAATAAAAATGGACAATGGGAGATTTAAATACTAAACATTCTGTAACGTCCTACTGTTCTGCTCCTAACCTGGGCTAATGAAGACGGCGAAGCCAGAGAACTGTGTATGTCGTGACATAGATACGCTCCTGAAGAATGCCTTTGCCATTGATTGAAATTAATGTATCGATGTTTGATCAGTATCCTGATGCAATGTAAATACACATGTGATAATAAATCAACTGAGTGTTATATTATTATTCTTTCGTACTGCCTTGAGATGTGATTTTCTTTGAGTGTTCTCGGTTTACACCAATTCAGAGCCACCCAAATTCATCGACATATTACACGTAACTATTTTGAAAAAAGCGAAATGACATTAACAGATTCATTTTGGCGGCCATTTTGTCCGCCATTTTGAAATTCTATATGGCTAAAATTCGATCGGATCGACCAGAAAACCAAATTTTCAGATTCATTGACCCCCAAAACCTATACCTCGACATATTACATGATACTTATCCGGACAAACGCCAATCACAACATAGGCAGTTCAGTGCGGCGGCCATTTTGTCAGCCATTTTGAAAATCAAGATGGCGGAACTTTGTCGGATCGAACAGAAAATCACAATTTCGGATTCATCGACCCCCAAAGCCTATAGATCGACATACTACGAGATAATATTCTAGAGAAAGCCAAACAACATTGAAAAAATGCATTTTAGCGTCCATTTTGTCCTCCATTTTGAAAATCAAGATGGCGGAATTATGTCAGAACAAACAGAAAACCACATTTTCGGATTCAGCATCCCAGAAAATCTATAAATCGACATATTACATTAAAATATTAACGAATAACTCCAAAAAACTTGAAAAAATTGTATTTTAGCGGCCATTTTGTCAACCATTTTGGAAATGGCCCGGTCCCCGACCGAAAAAAACGTTTTCCTTTTCAGCCCCGACCGAATTATCGAAGAACAATGTTTTTCGCCCCAGAAAACACCGGTCAAATTCTTACTGAATCAAAATGTGTCTGATTGTCACAACCCTACTTTAAATGCATATTGTGGACACTCTAGTTAAAATGATAACCCCTCGTACGCAAATAGCGTAAAACGTATGTTATACCAAGAACTAGTGGGCCCTCTAAGAGGTCACACTTCGTATCCGATTTTGACGAAACTTTAAATATATGTTAATATTCCACAGATTTTGGCTCCTTGTGATATTCACGAATATCGGACTGTAAATTGCTGGATTATGGCCCCTGGCTGTACGAAAGAAATCGCGCTTTTAGCTTGTAGACCCCTTAGAGGTTATAATTTTTATCTGATTTTAAAAATCGTTCAAATCTATCACAGTTACACCCTAATGACAGCTGAGTTCGTATTTGTGAACATCGACCTAAACTGCCGAACAAAATGGCCATTCCTCGTACGCTAATAGTGCTAGAGTATGTAACACCAAAAGAAAGGTTGTACGAAAAAGGGAAAACGTGTAAAGAAAGGTATCACTAACTGGCAACTCGTCGGTCTGTTGTCTGCTCGATTGATGTAGGAAACACTTAGCGGTTGTGAAAACAGTGAGACTTAAATGCACAGTAGTTAAAATGGTTTTGTCCAAATATATCACCCTAATCATACAGTTTATAAGTATGAAGGTATCTTTAAAGTCATGATATAATAAGTCTGTTGATTTTAAACGATTTTCGATAATTATTGCCAGGAGAGGGGTTAGGGGTTGGGCTGAGCGTTATCATTATCTCCACTCATAATTTGGACATGATCACATTCTGTTATTTGTTTAAGCAGGTCTGCACAGTTTTTCCATAAAATACATGCTGTGTTATATGGTGCTGCCATATATTATTATATGTGTGACTTAGATCGGCCTGGTCCAGAATTTTGTATAGAATTGTGTCTTAGGCCAGCTTTCTCCTAAGCATATTGCAAAAAAACAAAACAAAAAAACCCAACAACATGTGATTGGAAACTAGAAATGGCTATTATTAACCAGGGGATACACATAGACCATTCTAACACTACATAGAGGACTTAAAGAGCTTTCTAACGGTATAAACATCTTTCTTTTTCAACATTGTAGGTTAGCCCACTTTGGTTCTGACCCCTTCATATGTTTTCCAAGTAACGATATAGCTGACGACCACATAAAGTTTCAGTCATGTAATTTTTAGCCCCATGGTGGCACTTTTAGGTGCTGCTGTAGCTATAATCCCCGAGAGTTCCCAGTCTAAACAAATGTTTTTTTACTTGTATTTATAGTTGAGATCTTCCTACCTTTGCTAATTAACAGAACAGTTCAACAGAAATGTATAAATCATTTATACATACTGTTGATAAATATATAGAGAAAGAGAAAGGGGGTTTAACGTCCACTCGAAACAAACCAACTAGGTTATTTCGGGACTAACATATGGTTCAATTGTTTTCAATAATTCGCTTGCGCGTAGGGGTCTTTAGTAGTCGGAGGAAAGCAGAAAATCCATGAGGTTGGACACGCGACCCTACACCCTGTCACATACAAGCGGGGAATCGAAAACACGCCACTTGATTCAATGACAGACCTTGTGTCCTAAAGCGCACGCGCTAAACCACTCGGTCGCCTAAGCCCTTTGATAAATATGATATATGCACGAAAGAACTATACTTATCACAGAGATATATAACTGTTATATACCATAAATACATTTGTACTTTTCATGATACAGGGACATGATATATACATGGACATATTAAATATTTACACTTTATTCACAATCACATATTATGATAGTACAAATAATAGCAATGATATAGCACACAAGTTCAAATAGTTCAACATATCATATTGTAGGGTGTGTGCATACCCTACTTTAAATGCATATTGGCCTTGCTCTGTTTATGACCCAATAATTGTGTTATCGTGTTATTAAGTATATCTGTGTCTTGCGCTTCGTGGTTCGGCATTAATTAAATCCCTTCAAAACTGCTTAGTAATAAACAAGGCCATGACATAAACTGGACTGTTGTCAAAGTTTGGTTGCTCCCAGTTTCTAATTACTTTTATATCGTTTTCATAGAATTAGATTTTTCAATTTTTCCTAAAATGACCTGCCGTGAAATTCCGATGTTAATAAATTGTGTCTAAAATGTTTTAAATTCTGACAATTCTTTAGCCTAATATAAAAGGGATGCGTTTTTACAGTCTTCTGGATTGATAATTTATTGTTTGAAAACTTGATTTAAAATATAAAGATTATTATTGTAAAGGACTGCTTATGCGATACTATATGTCCCACATTATTCGCTTTATCTTAATCTTAAATGAGGGAACATCAGCTGAATCATTGCAATGTAATGTTTAGATAATCTGTTGTGGTCATCCACTTAAGTACTGGGGTTTATTGTTACAGCAGCACCTTAAAGTGTCCCCTTGGGGCTAAAAATTAGGGTGTAAGCTACATGGCTGAAACTATCTAGAAGCAAGGGTCTCAATAGTTAGAGCAAATGGATAATGGTCCCTGATTGTACGAAAAATCACGTTTTTAACTTGTGGACACTCTAGTTAAAATGATAACCCCTCGTACGCAAATAGCGTAAAACGTATGTTATACCAAGAACTAGTGGGCCCTCTAAGAGGTCACACTTCGTATCCGATTTTGACGAAACTTTAAATATATGTTAATATTTCACAGATTTTGGCTCCTTGTGATATTCACGAATATCGGACTGTAAATTGCTGGATTATGGCCCCTGGCTGTACGAAAAAAATCGCGCTTTTAGCTTGTAGACCCTTTAGAGGTTATAATTTTTATCTGATTTTAAAAATCGTTCAAATCTATCACAGTTACACCCTAATGACAGCTGAGTTCGTATTTGTGAACATCGACCTAAACTGCCGAACAAAATGGCCATTCCTCGTACGCTAATAGTGCTAGAGTATGTAACACCAAAAGAAAGGTTGTACGAAAAAGGGAAAACGTGTAAAGAAAGGTATCACTAACTGGCAACTCGTCGGTCTGTTGTCTGCTCGATTGATGTAGGAAACACTTAGCGGTTGTGAAAACAGTGAGAGACTTAAATGCACAGTAGTTAAAATGGTTTTGTCCAAATATATCACCCTAATCATACAGTTTATAAGTATGAAGGTATCTTTAAAGTCATGATATAATAAGTCTGTTGATTTTAAACGATTTTCGATAATTATTGCCAGGAGAGGGGTTAGGGGTTGGGCTGAGCGTTATCATTATCTCCACTCATAATTTGGACATGATCACATTCTGTTATTTGTTTAAGCAGGTCTGCACAGTTTTTCCATAAAATACATGCTGTGTTATATGGGTGCTGCCATATATTATTATATGTGTGACTTAGATCGGCCTGGTCCAGAATTTTGTATAGAATTGTGTCTTAGGCCAGCTTTCTCCTAAGCATATTGCAAAAAAACAAAACAAAAAAACCCAACAACATGTGATTGGAAACTAGAAATGGCTATTATTAACCAGGGGATACACATAGACCATTCTAACACTACATAGAGGACTTAAAGAGCTTTCTAACGGTATAAACATCTTTCTTTTTCAACATTGTAGGTTAGCCCACTTTGGTTCTGACCCCTTCATATGTTTTCCAAGTAACGATATAGCTGACGACCACATAAAGTTTCAGTCATGTAATTTTTAGCCCCATGGTGGCACTTTTAGGTGCTGCTGTAGCTATAATCCCCGAGAGTTCCCAGTCTAAACAAATGTTTTTTTACTTGTATTTATAGTTGAGATCTTCCTACCTTTGCTAATTAACAGAACAGTTCAACAGAAATGTATAAATCATTTATACATACTGTTGATAAATATATAGAGAAAGAGAAAGGGGGTTTAACGTCCACTCGAAACAAACCAACTAGGTTATTTCGGGACTAACATATGGTTCAATTGTTTTCAATAATTCGCTTGCGCGTAGGGGTCTTTAGTAGTCGGAGGAAAGCAGAAAATCCATGAGGTTGGACACGCGACCCTACACCCTGTCACATACAAGCGGGGAATCGAAAACACGCCACTTGACTCAATGACAGACCTTGTGTCCTAAAGCGCACGCGCTAAACCACTCGGTCGCCTAAGCCCTTTGATAAATATGATATATGCACGAAAGAACTATACTTATCACAGAGATATATAATTGTTATATACCATAAATACATTGTACTTTTCATGATACAGGGACATGATATATACATGGACATATTAAATATTTACACTTTATTCACAATCACATATTATGATAGTACAAATAATAGCAATGATATAGCACACAAGTTCAAATAGTTCAACATATCATATTGTAGGGTGTGTGCATATGGGTAGTTTTCTCTCTTGCTCTTAGTGTCGGAGCTAGCTTATGTTTCATTTCAAACTCATGTAAACGAATTTTGGTAGCTTGTTGGTAGGTACTTGGTAAGGAGTTCAAAAATATGGTGGCAGTTACTACTTCTTAAAAACAAAAATACAATCTAGCATGTCTGATGAACAAGAATAAAATGTTTTCGTCGTATTTGGATAAAAGGCGAATTTCGCGTGAAATCATTGAAGCATAACGGCTAAACCTAAGAATGAAATATTTTTGGATTTCTTACCAAGTAGCTACAACAGGCTATCCAAACCTAGCGCAAGTTTGAGATCAAACTTGAGCTAGCTTTCGCAATATATCTTGGGTAGTGTGTTGAGGAACTTTACTTTGTTGATATTTTTCAGGGGATGGATATGTATCGCACTTGCCAGAGCATATGGATTGACGACGTATCATAAGTGTGTGCATGTCTGCCGAACTGTGCTGCGGTTGTAGAGGTACCAATCACGGGAGACTTTGTACCCTTCCGCGATGTGACAAACTCTACTTTTCATAACCCAGCCATACTGACATAATGAATCTACCTTGACTTGATGCTGAGCTTAACCTCCGCTTCAACCTGGGGTGATTTTGCAGACAAGAGTCAGTCGTGAGTGAGGGGATCGTCCAGCGTAGGTTGAAATAGGTGGGCGATCAAGCGTCTACCCAGCAAGGGCGGATACAGAAATTTTGAAAGGGGAGAGGGGGGTGGGTACAAAGTGCAACAGCACCATGGTTGAGCAAATTTTGGACCCCCCGTGAACCCGTTAATGGGTTTCATCACAATTTGGTAGGTATGTTGATTAAGTGGTGCTTTCCAGTTCCGTTCATGCGCTAGGCATCCCTTTCATTGGGAATCCAATCAAAGAGTGAAATCAAATTCAAGTTTGTTGAAATTTGAAATTATCGCCGTTACCTTTGTTGTAAAGGGTTTATTTCATCTGATTTTATATAATTATATGAACTGTTTCTTTTCTCACATTTCTTAGCAGTAGCCCCTATATTGGAATATTGGATTGGCGGTCGGGGAAAATAATGACCCCGGCATCATCAAACCCCTACACGAAACCGACATTGGCACCGTGAAGGGACGTATTTAGACATTGTGGATTTCTTAATTCTCTTAAAACTCATAATGGACCGCATCTATTGCCAGAGTTATGCAGGAGCAGCTATTAGCGAAACATTTTGACATTAAATATTTCAATACAAATCTACTCCTGCATACTCCTGGCAATAGGTTATGAATTTATCTGCAATTCATCATGACTTAGAAGAATCACCTTCTCCTCTCTGTCTTCCTCAAATTCAACGCCTCTTGACCATTTCCTGTCCAGTTCAAAAATCCTAGACAAGCATCAGTCAATCAACATACCTATTAATTTTTTTTTCGATAAGTAACATTCATGCCAATAATAGTTATCAAAATCCCCCAATTACTTTCAGACAAACCCTACAATATACAGCAACGTCGCTACTTATAATTAAAGATGAAAGATTAAAACACAAAAAAGACAGTAATTGAACTAATTAATGTGTCAGCTGTCATTAGATAAGTAACTTAAGACGAGAATTGCATTTTTTAAAGTCACATGTTTAAAATATGTTACAATATAGCCTTAAAGGGCCAATCCCGATAATTTTTTGGAGAATAAAACTGCTTAATTTTGTGTTAAAATGCCTTAAAATCCTCTACCTAAGGGCCGAGCAACTAACTCAATATTTGTGATACGTTTTCAAACAACTTAAACCCGTCAGTCTTCATTTGGAAATGGAGGACGATGTCCCAAGCTGTATTATGCTGCATCTGGATAAAATCAAACATTTTTTTTTATAAAAATGTTGTGTAGGTGAAATTTACCTTTCGTTATCAAGTACAGCACATGGGACATTCACTGTATAGACCTCTCAAAGAATAGGAATCGATTATTAGGTAACCCAACGAAAAAATTGACCCGAAATCTTAAAAGGGTTACGTGTCTGGATAAGCATTTTTGACGTGCACATAGAAACGACTCAATATTTTGAGCTGAACATTTGAGACAAGGTAAATATACCATTCCTTTATATTTTGGCGCTTAAATTTCATACATACTCGGACTTTTAATTTTGAGACTCTGTTCAAATCGGGATAGTCCCTTTAAAATAAGTGGCTTCTATACACACAGTCCTACCTTGGTAAAGAATAATCCTAAATCCTATCATTCACTTGTCTCAGTTGAGAAATTGGCAAATCTTTCATTTTCTTTTTAAATCCAACGTTTGATTTTACGATGTTATTGTCAAGTGCTCAACCAGGCATCATTATACTTATCTGGTTAACCACGGACCTTGACAACCGAGACAACTGCATCTTGCATCGTGTAGACTTAGTTTTCTAGTGAAAAGAAATAATACAATTTCCAAATACCGTTGGCGAGTAGAAATTATTTCAAACTTTTATGTGAATGTTTTATAAGTGCTAGGATGATTCCAATGATTGTTTACTAGTAATTTAACAACCTAATATATAGATATATAAATGATTGTTTTGACTTTCTTAGAAAATACGCAATTCTCGCTTTAATGTCTAATTAATCACGATCCGAAGGATTAATAGAAACATAAAGATAGTAGAATTGTTAAATTTAATGAATGAATAATGAACGAATGGATTTTTGAAAGAAAGAAATACAAACAACTCACAAATTTAACACGATTATAATACTGCATATCGACAAATCAGTATTTTAAGTTAATTGCTATATTCTTGTCTCCCAACAGGTCAAGCAAAGTACAGCAGGTAAATAAAAGCACATTGTATGTTAATATGTGTAAACGACCATTCACAGTCTTACACCGAGCAATGGGAAACAGTTTTCTTAACCCAAATTAGTGTTAAAACATTATCATAAAAGTAAGTCGTCATTTTCAAGCTATTAATAGAATGAGTCACGTGATGCATATTTATTTCTCAACCTATTGCAATAGATATAATAGAGTTCGTCGATGTAAGAAATATTACACAGTCGACAGGCGTTTAGTCATTATCTACACACAGGAATAACTTATAAAGATAGTGTTATTTATTTACGATGGCGGAAAATAAGTTTAATGGGTAAGTATTTCGTTTTCTGTGTTGTTTTCGTTTATATCAATGACCAATACTAGTCCAGGAGCTAATGACAAAATAATATGGTCATCAGTTACAAAAGGTTTGATCCCCCAAATTTGTAGCAGGTGTCGGTAGGAGTAAAAATCAATTGGTCATATCGGGCACTGCTGGGGCGTATAGCCGCAGCAGCACCTTAAAGTAGCCCCAGGGAGGCCTAAAATTAGGTCATAAGTGACATGGCTGAAACTTTGTAGGGACAATGTATCCATAGTCGGAGTAAATATTTCACAAATCTAACCAAAATTTCCGGGGCTTTCCCCAAGTCAGACCACGCCCAATATAGCCCACGGGGCTAATAATATAGTCATCAGTTACATGGCTGAAACTTACCAGAAACGAAGATCCATACTTGGTAAATACAATTTTCAAAAATCTAACCAAAAATTTGGGGGCTTTCCCCAAGTCAGATCGCTCTAAAGTATGTCCGACCACACCCTAAAAATGGGGCTTTTTATATGGTCATAAGTTACATGGCTGAAACTTACCAGAAACAAAGATTCATACTTGGTACAATTTTCAAAAATCTAACCAAAATTTTGGGGGCTTTCCCCAAGTCAGACCGCTCTAAAGTATGTCCGACCACACCCTAAAAATGGGGCTTTTTATATGGTCATAAGTTACATGGCTGAAACTTACTGCACACAAAATCCATACTTGGAAAACATATTTTTCAAAAATCTAACCAAAAATGTTGGGGCTTTCCTCAAGTCAGATCGTGCTAAAGCCTACCTGGCCACGCCCTAAAAGTGGGACTTTTTATATGGACATCAGTTACATGACTGTAACTTACCAGAAATATTGTTCCATGCATGAAAAATGTATTTTCGAAAATCTACCCATAAATGTGGGGGCCTTAAAATTGCAGCCCTACCCACCACCTCTATATAATCATGTAAACATATTTACATTTTAAAAAGTATGAAATTAAATAACAGTATAGAGGTTATACTGTAGCGTTATCTTTTAGTTTTGATACTGTTGTCTTTTAAAGGGCGCGTATCTAATATACATTATGAGAAGCGCGTGTGCTTTCTGACATTATTAAATCCGTCTCTGTGATTTATGAGTTCATCAGGATTTTCCGACGTGTTTTCCCCTTGTCAGTGGTGCAGAACGGAGGGCCTGACAAGGACAGCTGTCTAGTCCTTCGGATGAGACGAACAACCAAGGTCCCGTTTATATGTTGGAATGCACGTAAAAGACCTCCTGGCAGTTGGAATTCGATATAAGAGTAGGCGATAGTGCCGCTGCCCGGGCAAAATTTCCCTCATAGCACACTGTATGGCGTATGCCCGTCTTCATTAGCCCAGTATAGGAGCAGAACAGTAGGACGTTAAACCTCATTTCATTTCTCTGTGTTTTATGGAGGCCGATGTTATTGTATGGCAAGGACATCGTCTAGTTGTTGGGATCTTACGAACTCCCTTTGCAGTTGGCATTCGAAAGAAGAGTACCCCGTAGCGCCGCTGTCAGGGCTAAATTTCCCTCAAAGCACACTGTATGGCGTAATTCCGTATATTATACATTGTCTTAATTTAGAAATTACATGAATAGAAGGTAGAAATTAGACGATGGCACGACACTAACAAATTTAGAATTTTGAATCTAATATACCCCCAGAAACAATGAACGGAATTGAGCAATTTGTTAAAACATATTTCTGAAGTGTTTCTAGACAAGTGAAAAGTACTTCAGGGAGGTAATGTTTTACGGATCATTTTCCTCGTGGTTCAATAATTATTCACCTGTGTTTATCATTCATCATTCAATGTTTGTTATCAGATTATTAATAATAAATCAGTGTATTATACATTACAGTGAAATGATAAGAAAAGAATTAGAAGAGAAGGGTGTATGTGTGGTACCAGGTGTTCTTAGTGAAGAAGAATGTGATGAACTTGTAGCTTCATATCGTCATTGGCTAAAACAATTCAAAGATGAAGACTGGCCTTTCCACATGAATTCGGTTATACAACAATATTACATCGGTCATTTCCAGCCTACGTGGACAGCACGTCTCAAGTCTAAGGATGTCTTTAAAGAAGTCTGGCAAACGAACAAACTTCTAACTAGTTTAGACGGCGTCGCCATATCACCCCCACCAGAGTTGGGTGGTTCCGCATTCGCAGTGGCAGATGCCCACTGGTTTCACCTTGACCAAGGTGCCATTCGCCAAGGCCTTCACGCTTATCAGGGAGCAGTATACTTAGAGGAAACGACGGAAAGTGACTACGTGTTCCGCGTGCTAGAGGGCTCTCATAAATTACACAAGCATTTCTTCGAAAAATTCTCTAAAGCAGCTAGAAAATCCTCAAGGCATGATTTTTATAAACTGACCCCAGAAGAATATGAATGGTACATAGGACAAGGTTGTGTCAAACGTACCATACCTGTTCCCAAAGGAGGAATGGTTCTGTGGGACTCCAGGACAATTCACGACAATTGCAAACCACAATTTGGAAGACCAAATTCTGATAGGTGGCGCTTTGTTGTATTTTCCTGCATGACGCCGGCAATATGGGCGCGAGAAAAAGACATCACCAAGAAACGGACAGCTTACAAAAAAATGTTAATGACGTCACATTGGCCATCACAAGAAGTGGATTATTTTGATGATTTTATGCCGACACATGAAGGTAAAATCCATACAATTAAAGCTTTACCTGATATAGCCAAAACCCAAGAGGCTCAGCAACTGTCTGGTGTTCTAGAATATGATTTTGAAGATGGCCAAAGCAATGGCCCTGAAGCACCCACGTGGATAACACTTGAACAAATTGGACTTGATCCAAACGAGAACGGGGACGACGAAGACTATCCAACAGATGGATCAGTACCTGCATGGCAGAAAAAAAATAAAAATAAATACCATAATTAAATTAATCCATGTTCATGTTGTTAAATAGAAATAATGGATTAGTGGCAGATATCGTTATTATGTAAATTATTAAGAACCAATGATTATCCAAACAGAATAATACATTTACAATAATAAACAAAATTTTATCCAAATGTAAATACACTGTTATTATATGGTAGAAGTAAAATAAAAGGTACAATAAAACTTTCATGTTAAACTACACTATTGTTTTCTTTGTGTTGACACAGTTTCGTTTTGTGCGGGCGTGGTAAAACAGATTCGTTTCGAATAAAGTCAATGGGAAATATCACTTTATTAAAAGTAGTATATACCATGAATCCATGATGAGTGCAGTGTCTTGTTAAGGAATGATGGATCTTAGATCCTTGTTGAACAACCCGAAATCCATTGATCAGATAACCAATAACCAACCATTTTCCTGATTGCTCGATCATGGTTGTAGGGTTGAGGGCCATTGTGTGTAAATCGTGCACTGAGAAGAGTGTGGTGGTTTCTAGTACAGCCTTATACGAGACAAGGCTACCTCGTTCGTTTTCTTTGGATTCTCCTGTATTTCCTCACTACTAAAGGAATATAAATATTTATGCCCTTTTATTTAAAAATATATAACCCATTAAAGATCATTACACCATTTTATATTATCTAAGTGAACATTTCACTGGTCCGATCCACTTCTCATAAGACGTTCGATAACTGATTCAAGATATTTCATTTACACACTGTGGCACATTAACAGTTTTTGTTTTACCTGATTTCGGAAATGTCCCAGGTTGGCACTTGTCAGTTTTGATGTCTTTGGGCGACAGGGAAAGTGTGACTAGTCGCTCGGATGGTACGACAGAGCCGAGGTCTACCCATGGCGTGCACGTAATTAAATCATTAACAGTTGGAAATCTGCCTCAAAATGACTAAAATATTGTGTTGACGAGACATTAAACCCCATTCCATTTCATTCAATTCTGTAACCATAATTGCGCATTCATCAGGAAGATGTATTTTTTAAAATAAATATCTGATAAGATTTATGGTGTCCATTTTTATACGCCCACATTTTCATTATGTCGTCGCCCCTGTCCGTACGGGCATCGAAACATCTAGTCTCTATTAGTCTGGATATGTTGTCAAAATTTGAGAATGATAGGTCATTGGCTAGAGTATCCAGTGTATTACATTTTCATGAACAATGACTAAGGGGGTAACTAGCCCTAAAACAAGATGTCAACGCCCATGAAATTAATTTAAGAATTTCCATTTCTGAAAATCCATTTGCGTTGCCAGTTCAATATCCAACACTCATAATTTTTTTATTGTTAAATTCTCTCTTCATGGACCATATCTAGGGCCTATTTTTTTTTTAAAAAATTAATCCTAATTCGTCGTTACGATTATTTCGGGAAGTGGCGCAACTCATACTTGACAAAAAATACTGGGTATTCAAACACATAAAAAACAAAACAAACAAAAAAAACTCCCGGTTACGCATGGGCAATGGAACTTTTCGTTAAATGTTGACAACAGACTCAGGCCCAATCTCCCAAACAGATTTGTCTTCCCTTGCAGTAGCGAGACTTGAGTGGAGAATGACCCAGGCCCTCCGTTGTACGTTGAAGACTAGGATGTTCTGGGTGATCGAGACTACCAGACGTACGTTCACACTTTGTGAACACTCTACTGGTCACATTTTTTATCCGATAATGTATGTTAATATCAAAAAGATCTAGGGTGGAGTTTGACATGTATCGTACCGCAAATTCCTTGATTATTGCTCCTGATTGCGTTTTTAGCTTGTGGAGCGTCTAGGGGTCACAATGTTTATTCGATTTAAATCTGGGGTGGATTCTAGCACGTATAGGACCGTATCTTCCTTGATTATTGCTCCTGTGTACGTTTTTAGCTTGTGGTCCCTCTAAAGCTCTAAAGGTGACAATGTTTATTTGATTTTAAATACCTTTCAATAAATAATACATGTTCATTATACAATAATTGCGGGTGAGTTCGAATTTCGTGAAAATCGGACCGAAACCTCCTGTTAAAATGCAAAGCATGTAGATATATAGAAGTTCCATAGTCTCTGCCAAATTCAGATATAATCTCTGCCCAACTTCAAATATACATGTATGTTAAGGATCAAAAGATCTTGCTAGAGTTCTGGATTTATGCCACCTGCGTTTTATGCAAACTGTTAAATGTGTACAAATACCTCGATTTTTGGCCTATTCAGATGAGATCTAACATGTATGTTAAGAATCGTATGATTTTGGATGAGTTCGATTTTGGTGCGCATCAACAACTTGGGTTATGGCCATTGCCTTTTACACAAAATGTGAAATATGTACAAAGTTTGTGGACTCTCTAGAGCTAACATTTTAGATAAAATATAAAATGTATCTTCAGAATCAAAAGATCTCGGATGAATTTGATTTTGGTGCGTATCGGACCTTCCGTTATGGAGTTATAGCCCCTTAAAATTCCGAAAGGCTATAGTTTTCGACAGATCTTTTTCAAATCTGGTTTGAAGCAATGGGGTTATGAGAGGACGAACCCTATTGATTATCGGGTTTCCAAAGTTATGCCTCCTTAGCCAAACATTTTGTGAATGCGATGGAGGCTACAGTTTTTAACTGATCTTTTTCAAATTTAGTTTGTAGCATTGGGACCAACACTATCAATAGTCAGCGTTACGCGATAGAGGCTATATACAGGAATAGCAAACCCAGTGATTAAAAGCACAACACAGATATTTTAATATTCATAGCAGTCCATAAACTTGTCATGAATATTAATCAAACAATCAAACATTATTATAACTATTCTCTTCCCTTACAGCATCATTAATACGCTATATTAATTAATGGCGCTTATAAAAGGGAAAAAAGTTGAAACGTGTATAAACATAAAAGGGAAATATACATATGTACATCCTGTTATCTTTACAGATGATAAACTCTGAATACTGTATTTTTCATTATGGTTTTATTAATTGTGTGGCGTGTAATAATAGGTAAAGATAATGTTGTCACGTGTAGTAATATGGATGGCAGAGATTTGTGCAAAAGAACACATACGTAAAATAATATTATGGTCTTGATTAATTATTCTCTATTGCCAAAATATTAGCTATGGTGTAAGTTTATTCTGAAACGCAATTAAACATTTATTGTGACATTAACAGGACATGAGGTCTAAAAGCAAGGAATTGAGAAATATGATGGCTTAAACAATATTGTTATCTTTCATAACCAAAAATATAGAAAGTATATGCTGGTTATTTTGATACGTTAACTAAGCTATAAATTAATGAACATGTTGGTCATTAACATTTTTCTTTGTTATAAAACATATATCATATTTGTTGACTAAATTAGGAAAAAATCCCCGTCGATATACAGGTTTAGGGTGAATGCCCATTTCATATTTGGGATTTAGCTGTTATCAGTTGTTTACGTAAATAACAGAGACAAAGAATAAACAGAGACAAAAGAATATCCACCTGTATAAGGGAGCGGGGCTAGAATAATTTGGAGAGATCATGTGGATTCTTTAGACGACTATTTCATGCGGTAGTGTTTTCCTGGGTTTAGCCAGGCTGGCTAGATTTTTACAGGACTAGGATTGGAGAGAAAGAGATGTTAGTTTTAAATATTGTAATGTATACTACAGTGTAACTGTTGTGACATAAAATGTTTAGCAAAAAACACTATCGTTGTCCTTGTTACTTATTTGAGTCGGTATCGTGAGAAAACACAATGGTGAAGTCCTTAAGAAGAAAGATACAACAGTAGTAGTCCAGGGCCAACCAACCCCCCCCCCCCCCCCATAAGACGATTAGGCCAAAAACTAAGATGTGTAGTTGGATAGTACTATACACGTCCTACGCCCGCAGTTAATTGGAAACAATATCGAACGTCATATAGTTTTCAAAATACTATGTCAAATATGCTATACAACATTTGTTTGTTTTTTTAGAAGACAAATGCAGGATTTACCATTCAATGTTTGTTATCAGATTATTAATAATAAATCAGTGTATTATACATTACAGTGAAATGACAAGAAAAGAATTAGAAGAGAAGGGTGTATGTGTGGTACCAGGTGTTCTTAGTGAAGAAGAATGTGATGAACTTGTAGCTTCATATCGTCTTTGGCTAAAACAATTCAAAGATGAAGACGGGCCTTTCCACATGAATTCGGTTCCTACCCCCCCCCCCCACTTTAGTCATTGTTCATGAAAATGTAATACACGGTATACTCTAGCCAATGACCTATCATTCTCAAATTTTGACAACATATCCATCTAATAGAGACTAGACGTTTCGATGCCCGTACGGACAGGGGCGGCGACATAATGAAAATGTGGGTGTATAAAAATGGACACCATATCTCGTAAAGTATTTCAAAACGAGCATAAACCTTATCAGATACTTATTTTAAAAAAATACATCTTCCCGATGAATGCGCAATTATGGTTACAGAATTGAATGAAATGGGATGGGGTTTAATGTCTCGTCAACACAATATTTTAGTCATTTTGAGGCAGATTTCCAACTGTTAATGATTTAATTACGTGCACGCCATGGGTAGACCTCGGCTCTGTCGTACCATCCGAGCGACTGGTCACACTTTCCCTGTCGCCCAAAGACATCAAAACTGACAAGTGCCAACCTGGGACATTTCCGAAATCAGGTAAAACAAAAACTGTTAATGTGCCACAGTGTGTAAATGAAATATCAGTTATCGAACGTCTTATGAGAAGTGGGTCGGACCAATGAAATGTTCACTTAGATAAAATGGTGTAATGATCTTTAATGGGTTATATATTTTTAAATAAAAGGACATAAATATTTACAATATTCCTTTAGAAGTGGAGAAATACCGGAGAATCCAAAGAAAACCCACGAGGTTAGCCAGGTGACACTATTCCTTGCCTCGTATAAGGCTGTACTAGAAGCCACCACACTCCGAACTCCAGCAAGATATTTTGATCCTTAACATACATGTATATTTTAAGTTTCATCTAAATTGGACAGAGGCTATGGACATTCTATATATCTAGCCTACATGCTTTGCATTTTTACAGGATTTTCACGAAATTCGAACTCACCCGCAATTGTTGTGTAATGAACATGTATTATTTATTGAAAGGTATTTAAAATCAAATAAACATTGTCACCTTTAGAGGGACCACAAGCTAAAAACGTACACGGGAGCAATAATCAAGGAAGATACGGTCCTATACGTGCTAAAATCAACCCAAGATTTAAATCGAATAAACATTGTGACCTCTAGACGCTCCACAAGCTAAAAAACGCAATCATGAGCAATAATCAAGGAATTTGCGGTACGATACATGTCAAACCCCACCCTAGATCTTTTTGATATTAACATAGATTATAAATTTAAGATTAATCAAAATCGGATAAAAAGTGTGAACGTACGTCTCGTAGTCTCGATCACCCAGGCCCTCCTAGTCTTCAACGTACGGAGGGCCTGGGTCATTCTCCACACAAGTCTCGCTACTGCAAGGGAAGACAAATCTGTTTGGGAATTGGGCCCGAGTCCGTTGTCAACATTTGACGAAAAGTTCCATTGCCCATGCGTAACCGGGAGGTTTTTTTTTATGTGTTTGAATATCCAGTATTTTTCGCCAATTCAAGTATGTTAAGCCAGCTCTTTATCTAATGTTTCATAATGCCGCTTTAGGTTAGGTTTCCTTCAAGATAATTAAAAGGGTGTCTCTGGTTGGCCAGCAATAACCAAGTGTTGGTTTTTTACATGTATATTGTCTCGTTATATTTTATCATGATTGGAGAAGCCTTGTTAGCATAAATGAGATCGACTGATGCACAGGCCCCTAATACGAGTGACGCAGCCACGAACTGAGCACCACATGTGCGAGCTTTCGAGGGGGTCCGAGGCATGCTCCCGTGAAATATGTTTGAATCTAGAGTCCCTGAAATGCCATATCCTGGACTTTGCTGTTTTCTGATGGTGAGAAAACACTTATAACATGAGTAAAATTGAGAACTACCCATGGGAATTCAATGTTATTTATTACGAATTTTGCAAAGTACTGTGACAACTTATGAAAGTGATAATTACATCATTTACATGGACCTATATCTTTGATATATTAGCCCCCCCCCCCCCCACGCAATAATTTGGCCGCAAGTACTCTTTTCTCCAGGTTATTGCACACAAGTAACTATTCAATAAAAAACAAAAAGGCTTGATTTTAACATGGAAGTGAGTAGAAGTGAGACTTCTAGAACTTAGACTATCAGAAGAAGAAAACCGTGCTATGCTCAATACTAATCCTTGGGGTAAGAGATCCAGCGGTCCTTTATTTCAAGTCCATCTCACGTCCGTTGAATCTATGACATAGTAGGTAATTAGAAATACGACGGGACAGAGTTTTATTTATAATAATAATAATAATTTATTCTGCATCAAAGGCCTCCGGCCCAAAGTACACGTATAATATAATATAATATAATAAACTTAATCATATAAAAAATAGTTTAAATAAGAATAAAGACATCAAATATCATCAATATAATACAAACAATCAGCGGTAATATAGGTTGTTAAATATATAAATAATATACAGAAATTTTTAGGTTTGTTTTATAAATTCTTCTCTTAATCTCATACTCCTCAATACGATTTTTTCTTCTAGTTCTTCCCACCGTTCTATTTCTTTTTCTTCAAGACCCAACAATATTAAATTTCCCGTTTTTGATTTATCTTCCAGCTTTTCTGTGCGTTTATGTAACTCACAGTTTTCTTTCTTCACACACACAAGCTCTGAAGATAACGAGGAAAAGTCCTGTAACTCCGAGAGCTGTTTTAAAACTATCCAACTGTTTTGTTATGGTTAATAGGGGTTGTGTGATATTTAAAAGAGTTTTACCCAGGTCTATATCTCCAACTTTGGGGCTTGGTGAATCATAGTTCAGGGTTGTCTGTCTTGTATTCACCTTACTACTTGTGCGAACAATTAAAAGTGATGCCATAGTAGTGTTTGCGAATAAAATGTCAATTTACCGTTTTATAATAGCGTTTTATATGGCTATGACACACGATGGGACCAGGAAGAAGATAGTGTTGTTGATTTTTTTTACCTCGTCTGTTTGATATACATGTCTGATTATTCATCATATTACTGGGGTCATACTAAATTGTTATTTATCCCTCCTATAAGAAACAACAACAGTTGAATGGATATCGCCTGTCATCCTGTTACCTATTTCTTTACAACAAGTGCATAATGTCTCATCTTACACTACTGCCCCTTAAAGTTAATGAGATTTTATAGGCCTACTCTTTCCTTGTGTACCTTATCCATGAAATAATTCACTGCTATCAGCTATGGCCAGTTAAAACAAGCGGTTGCCATGCAGGATATGCCCACATTTTGCAAGAAATGGATGGGAAAGAGGTAAAATCAAGGGCTCATCCCCACATTTAAGATCTTTTGATCATGAACATATTTGTTAAGTTTCATCAGAATGGGACAACAATGTTACCCCTCCCCCCCACCCCCCAGGGGGGCATAAACAATTTTGCGTAAAAAGCAAGGGCTATAACTCTAGAATGCAAGGTCTGATGCGTACCAAAGTCGAAGTCATCCAAGAACTTTTGATCCTTAACACATAGTTTAAGTTTCATCGTGAAAGGTCCACAAACATTTTGTGTAAAAGTCAGGGGGCGATCGATACGCACGAAAATTGACCTCCGCCAAGAACTAGTTATACTCGTCTTAAGTTTCATATAAATTGTGACCTCTCGATGGTCCACAACCTGGGTCTTACATGCTTTTATTATACTGTCTGCGTAAAGGGGAGCGACGGGAAGTTTCGGTCAACCATAATTATGGTGTAACGGTGATATATTTTAACAATTTTGAAAATAAGATAAAAATTGTGACCTCTAGAGGACCTATGAGCTAAAAACGTGATATTTCATACAATCAGGGGGCCATAATCCAGAAGGCTACGGTCCAATACGCGCCAATAGCTACCAGCAGATTTCGTCAGGCATTTTCTGTCCGATTTTTACGAAATTTAAACTCAATCGTAATTATGGCGTAACTTTGATATACTTGAACGGTTTTTACAATCAAATAAAAACTGTGACTTCTACAGGGTCCACAGGCTAAAACGTGATTGTTCGTACAATCAGGGGCCACAATCCATGAAGTGACGGTCCTATATGCGCCAATATCGAAAGAAACCGAAATCTTTCGGTTATAAACATATATTGTAAGTTTCATCAAAATCGGAGAAAAATTGTGACCTCTAGAGTGTATACAAACTTGGTATTATTATGCATATATTTGTCAAGTTCAGGATTAAACCACCATCGACTTTGTGTTCGTAGTAAGGGAATTAGAAAAGAAATAAAATTTCACTTCATTGCGGAGTATTTTTTATTAGCCAGAAACCGTTCAGAAGGCGTCTCCGACGATCTAGACCCCCCCCCCCCAATAGCTTCCGGGGCCTAGGCGGCACCTGGACCTTCCCCTGTAGACCTAGGATGGTAGCCCCGCCCCGCCCCTAATAAAGAATTGCTTTCGCCGGCCCTATTGATGAGTTCCTGTTTCATTACTGAATGCATAACAGTTCTTACTAATTTGAGCTTTGAAAAAAGGGCGCGTATTGTGAAATACAAACAAAGCAATTAAACATATACACTGATATATTCATACATATATTAAGTATTTGGGATTTTTTACTTCTATTTTGGCATTGTTTGTTTACCTCATACCCCCGTCCCCCAAACCCCCATCTGCCCCCTAGTCAGATACTTAAGCTCGATAGTTCCTTGAAACACAAACTCTCTCTCTCTCTCTCTCTCATCGATTTGTTTTGGTCTAGAATCGAAGAGTGTTTGAATTGACATTTTCTGCCAGGTTTGGATAAACATTCATGAGTTACAAGCGGAAGGTGAAAGAGTTAAGAGGTTGGTTATTACGATATGTTCAGCGGATGGATACATGTTTTGGCATGGCTACTTCCAGTTTGTATTTCTGAACATTTATGTGGTCAACCTCATACAAATTTTTCAGCAAATTAGAGGCATGGTCATTTTTGGCTCTGTATGTAGTGAGGAGCGTTCAGCCCAACATAAATTTGTGAAAAAGTTGGAGCCGGACAAAGAGGCCAAAATTAACATTGAACTCAACGTGTAAATAACTGGTTGTCTGCATCCATACCCTCAAAACTCCCTAGCCTCATTACTGGTCTACAACCATAATTCACGATTATCCAGCCAGTAGCGAGTTGTTGAACATAGAGCAATTTACACAATACGAGATGGACACCGCTCTTTAATTTCGTCAGCCTAGCCTCTAATAAAAATAATACCATATGACTGTTCTCTGATAGTTTACTTCTTATACGCATTTTATGTGAAGATTATATACAATTACGTCACTTTTAGATCCGCAATGAAAAGCGAAACAAACGTTGCTTTATTACAATAATAGTGGGTATACGATTTGGACGAATGACTTGATAACCTACTATATCTATTATTAGACCTAGGGTTTACCCTGGTGTCATCGAATGTATTTTTAACACTGGCGTCAATATCATACGTATAAGTATTGTTATATTAGTACTAACAGTACACAATGTTGGGTGTAAGAAGTGGCAGTCAGGTATCTACATATCGTGAGACTACATATCATTATTATTCTACTGAAGATTTATTAGGAAGAGGAGCAACATGTGAAGTATTTAAGGGAATCAGTCAGGTAGGTTTATATGGCGATAGATTAAAAATTTTAAACGTAAAGATTTTGTCTACTGCACCTTTTCTGTCACATGAAATATTTCCTGGTTCTGAGTATCTTATAGTGGTTGGTGATCACCGTATAAAAAATATTATAAACTACACAGAGGTCATAGTTAATATAGTAAGTATATTTATACAAAATAAGTAATAAAATAGTCTACTATTGTCAGTGTGTATTAGCCTAATATGGTTAGATACAAAGTTCACACGAGCGCGGGTCGCGGGGGGGGGGGGCAACAATACACTACACCCGCTTGATACACCCCGTGGTTATGTGCTGGGGCGGACTGCACGGTTCACCTAGAGGAGTCAGTGACCCATCGGCCCATATTTGAAAACATTTTTTGACACATGCTGTCAATTAAAATGAAAATTAAAATGGTCTAAATCTGAGGAGAAAAATGATCTTCGAATGGGGAAAGGTGATCAAGCGAGTTTCGTTTTCTTCTTATTAATCAATAGATCATGCCAGTATTCTTCACCGCCGTGGTGGCCCAATGAACAGGGCCCGCGACAAGGCCTTCCGGGCCCTGGGGCAAGTGACTCAAAAATGTTTGAAAGATACATGGTCTAAAGTTATCTGGGATAACTGGAGGCCACTTTTTTAAATCACAGTTTCGCTTTTTTTTTAAGCCTACCTGAGCGATCGATAACCGCGTGCATGGACACTGGTGGCGCACGCACCATCAATGTATCGTTCTACAGGCCCGGACTAGGCACAGAGTAAAAATAACTCTGTGGACTATAGGCCCCGATTGCCTGCTGGTGTTCGGTTACCCTGACGGTTACGAGAGCCTCACACGGAACGAGGACGGGTCGTGCCCCATTGCGCGAAGGCCCGGGCAGGTACCCACATTCCGAAAAGCCACCGGTTTTCATCTACTTTACGATCAAGCAACAGACGTGCATTTCTTTATTAATTTGTACCAAAATTAATTTGTAAACATTACTCGACATACCCCCGGACCCCTCTAGACTCTGGACCCCTGGACAAGTGTCCCAGCTTCCCCTACCCCCTCTCACGGGCCCCGTCGATGAAACCAGTTGGTCCAAGAGCCCATAGCTACCCAATTAGCCCATGATATAGTATCATTCTATATTTATCACTGGCGAAATGTACGTTAAAGTTATTTGATTTATCTATTTGATTGTGTTAATTCAAACTTTGACCAAGAAATTAAACACCCCACCCGCCTTTCGATATCAATCAAAGCTTGGAATTTATGATCCATGTTTGTTTCTAAAAAGGATGTGGATTTTCTCGTAATAACGCCCATACCCTTGCAAGTATTACAGGGTTTATAATCGTATGAAATCGCGACGCTGTGTGTACGTCAGTAAAGGAATCCGCGTATACGGCTTTCATCGATTCTACGTTGTTGATATACGTAAAGGTATTTAAATCTCTACATTTGCAGAATCTTTCACCGGTTTTCCAGCATCTTGAAGTTAGCAAATATATTCGTAGCGCCACGGTAATAATGGTTTCAGTTTGTGTTAAAGGACAATATTGGTGTCAGTCATTATGACATACGTGATAGAACTGGTTAAACACGTTCCAAATACAATTTACACATAGAGATCATTGCTACGATAGATGCATTATGAAGCTTTCAAGAAAGGGGTGTGACAAAGGCAAAAGGAAACCACGAGTTATCCTTCCATATAACTAACTAACAAATCAAAAAATAATTGACTGTCACTAGATGAGAGAAAACAAGAAAAATAGAAAAAGTCCATGCATTACCGTGTTTTTATTAAGTATAGAATGAATAAAAACAAGGGAATGTACGGTCTAGATTCGTCTTGGAAGTAAGCAAAATAAATGATGAATTTTACCCACCGTATTTAGTTTAGTTATGGGGATAGTGCACATTAATTACGGATTTACGGATTACGAATAAAACTGATGTGGATATACTACACAATCCAGAAGTTGAGAGCTTTAGACAAGTTCTTGATACGTTCTATGGCATGCATGGCATGGAGATCAAAGGAAATACATTCTAAGGTGTGTAAAAACAGAGAACTCCAAATTATGCATTGTTGTGTGTTGGATAACTTTCTTGGCAAACTATGCTAATATTTATGATGCGACTTTAACAGTTCATTCTTTTATTATTTTTGAAGTCTGGTGAGTATCGAGCACTGAAGATTTTCTCGGCCAGAGCATCAGGTAAAAACTCTGATATAGCGAGAGAAGTGGAAGCTTTGAAGAAGTTAAAACATGATAATGTGGTTGTATTTTATTCAGTGGAGCAAGATGTAAGCTTTTTATATCTTTCAAAATAGCAAATAACCTAAGTCAAACTGTGGCGGTATATTACATTCAAAATTCTAAATTTCTTAATGCCGTGCTATCGTCTAATTTCTGACTTCTATTCATATAATGTATAATCCAATTTCTTTATTTGTTCAGCATAAATTTGTATTATTTCTATTAAGACAATAAATGTCTTCTTCGTTTAGCATTAACATCGAACAAAATGTGACATTTTTACCCGGCAGTCATCATTTACATTATGAAGTCATTTGGCGTCGCCACTGCATGCTCAATTTGGTGATTGGACACCTGATCGTGACCTGTGCGTTCATATAAGCGACTCATTCGTTCTTCGCCTGGTTGAATGGATGGACCGAGTGCTAAAATTGGAAACTATTTCGAATGTGATATAGTTTTCAAAATACTATGTCAAACAGGCTATACAACATTTGTTCGATTTTTTGCAGACAAGTGCAGGATTTGGAGATTTTTATTTGATTCTTTTTACAGCTGAGCCAATTAATATTTTATATACTGTTGATCTTTATTCTGTTACTACTTTTAAAAAAAATATGACACTTTGCAGTGATATAAATATATATTAATTGGCTCAACCGTAATAAAAAATCAAATAAAAATCTTCAAATCCTACACTTGTCTTCAAAAAAATGAACAAGTATGCATATTTGACGACGTTGTTTCCAGTTTTAGCACTCCATTCAACCATTCAATCAGACGAATAGCGAGTCGCTTATATCAACGTAATGTTCCCGATCAGGTGCTCAATCACCAAATTTAGCATGCAGTACCGACACCAAACGACTTAATGATTTTTGCACATTTCTAAATTTCTAAACATGTAAAGCGTCAATAAAGAAGATATTTTTCGTCTTAATAATAGAAATAGGAAAATAAGATGAAATAAAATTAAAATTTATGCTAAACAAAAAAAACCAAAAAAACAAAAAAAAACCAAAAAAGAAATCGGATTATACATTGTCTTAATTTAGAAATTACATCAATAAATGTTAGAAAGTAGACGATGGCACGGCATTGACAGATTTAGAATTTTGAATCTAATCGACCCCCACATTTAAACTACCTGTGTCATAGATATCAAATTGTTACACGGTATTTATGCACAAGCTTTCTTTAACAGTCTGGAGCAAAACAGTGGTACGTTAAACACCATTTCATTTAATTTCTTTGACAGTCAATGACATTCAATGTGTTTGCAAATATACGTCACCTCGGGAGTGACTCAAGGAAGTGTTCTAGACATAGTATTTAAAGGCTCAATACCACTCTTGTTGTAACTGAATAATATGTCCCAATCTTTATTCTGGTCAACAAATTGTACTATTTTACAATATTCCAATTAATTGATGATACAAATTTCATCTTAACACACCTTATTTAGAAATTTTGAAAAATTCAACATAATGGTTTGAAACGTCTAACGTAAACCTTTTCAAATGAAACTTCGATTTAAAAATATTTTCGAACCCTCTGGACAAGTAAAATAGGATGTAATGGATAATTTACACAACAGGTAGGACACTTAAACATCTAGTACTTAGATAGAGATATTATTTATTTTCTGGAGCTTGCAAGCCAGCAAGGGTGTTATTGTTCCTTTAACATTAAGAAATCAATTATGCTGATTACGTCATTTTGAATTTTTCCAAATAAGGCCATAATAATTGACCAAAATTATTGTGGAAATCATAACTAATCCCAATGATCAGAACACTTTGAGATCATATTGTGTGAGTTTCTTATATTATAAAACAAGAGGCCATGTTTCGTTTCGATCAGTCTCATAATTAAACTATTATATGGTGAATGTTTTATCAGAAATTAACTGGGCGACCTGTTGTTGTAACAGAATTATGTGAGGATGGTAGTTTACAAGATGTATTGAATTCATTAGATTTTAAATATGGTTTAGATGAAGAAGAATTCTTACTTGTGTTTAGACATCTGTGTAAGTATTCTTACGTCCTGAATGAATTAAATTTACATGAATGTTTAAACATAAACACAACCTTCAGTGCCATAGCTCTGCATTTAAACCCCCATCTTGAAAGCAAATCCTACTGTATTTATCAAAAGAGACAATGCAGGACGAAAAGGAACACGAAATTGATGTTTCTTTTTAGCCAATAAAATATTATTTTCATCATGCTGATGGACGCATAATTAAACCCAGTTAAAATTATGTTGGTTTTTTTTTGGTAAATCATTGGATTTCGGACGCTCCATAAATGTAATGTTAAATTACGTTGAAATCATTCCCACTTTAATCAAATATTTTTATTTTTAGTGAATGGTGTACGTCATCTACGACGTAATGGTTTTGTCCATCGTGATATCAAACCAGGCAACATTCTTAGATGTATTGATGAAAATGGAAAGTAAGGAATTCATAATACTTGTGGAACAGAGTTTCGGTGCAGTATCTAACCTATACCCACGCCCTTACTTACCTATCCAACTCTGGTCGTGTATCAGTTCTGATATTGGAATCCTTGCACTCTTCCGTATATTCTTGCAGTCCAGCAGCACAGTTTGGTGGTACACTCTTCTCCCCATCGAATTTGATGACTTGGATACTTAAAAATCCCCTTAGACGTTCTTTCACCCACAGTTTCCATACAAGTTTACAAATAATTCTTCCGGGGTGATTGATCTTGTCATCCAGTAGAATTTTGTATGTATCAAGTTCAACAAGATTCAATTCCCGAGTTGTATTGATCTGTCTTTGAATTCAGAGTGGTGTCCTTAACCCCTTTACTTGCAAGCCGACCCGCTTCCCCCCTATTCACTTTATATCCACTTGTGATGGAATCCATACTAACTCTTGTGTGCTTCCTTTCCATAGACTTCCCGGGTTTTCAAATTGACTTCTGGTGCCCGTTTCACGATATTTTAACTAAGATAAAATCCAAATTTTAATAATTTGATTGGAAAATATTAGATTGATTTTAGTGCTTAGCCAATCAATAGTGAAGTATCTACTAAAATTTGGATTTTATCTTTAGTTAAGATTTCGAGAAACAGAAATCAGGCTGCTCAATCAGTCACTCGATATGGTGGGAGATCAACGATATATCTAGAGCATCACGGCTGTCCACAAATTTATATCGAAATGTATGAGCAGTTTCCTTCGTATCCCATTCTCCACGAATTGTCCGTTGTTAACCTCATCAATTTAATGATCTTGGTGCTTCAACCATGTGTATGTGTGGTTTCCAGGCCAAACATTGATGAAAGATTACTCCGAAAAATTTGGTATGGTCGTTAAAATCAATGCTTTCCCATTGATGGTCGCACCATTCTCTCCACTCCTTTCTTTTTACATACTAGCATATCATATGCCTTACTTCTGGAGACTTTACATCGCCAGTTGGTGTCCATTTCATGAAGTTGTCGAGAGCTTAGACTGTACTTCTCCGTAATGTCTCCATATCCTCCAAAATGTACTACCTAACATTTTGATAATTCAGTCTTTGCATCTAGAAATCGATTTGTGAATGTCGTAGTTTATACGTTTAAAAAGGTGGGACTCGTGTCCGATCAGTGTGCGCGGATCATTTACTAATTTTTGTCACCTGGACTCTTATATGGCCCAGGAACCCGTGGGAAGAGCGACAATTTCGCGTTTAAATAATGGTACGACCCCTAAAGTAGTAATGATAAATAATGAATAAAAAAAAGGTCTTACATTAAAAAGTTTATCCCGATGAGTAAATTTCTAACTGTACATCGTTAGATTTGCTTCCGTGGCTATACAACTAGAAGAAGCTACACGAGAGCTGGGCTAACTTAGTAAGGGATAGTAAGAATCTTTTTAATAACTACTACTGTTCCAACTATCATCTGTGAGAGAAGTTTCTAAAAACTAATAAAGACGTATTAGTTTTATGCGCTTGGTGGGGATGAGGATAGGTTGGTCTAATGGGGAACTAATTGTCCACGGGTTAAAGGTTACAGTTGTTGCCTTGCCCCGTGTGCTGGTAACTCACGTAACACCACTGCTTTATCTTATGGATAAATCGCGTCAAGTATCCAAAAGAATATTAAAAACTGAGTGGAGAGTACATAGTTACAATAGGTATCGTCTCTGTTTTAATTATATTGTAGGTCTCTGTATAAACTCTCAGATTTTGGTACTGCTCGTCTTTTAGATGATGGAGATGAGTTTATGTCTTTAGTGGGAACTGAAGAGTATTTAGTAAGTAAAAATAAAATACAGTAGATACGGGTTTCCTTTCTATACACCTGATTTTTGTTTTATATCTGAATGGTAAAACTACCCCCCCCCCCCCCTGACAAATAATATTCTCATTTGTTTGGTATTAAATATAGCTTTACTTATTGACATTTTCAGCATCCGAATTTATATAATGCTGCCTTTCTACATCCTCGATGCCGTGGAGGATTTGATGCTAAGGTAGATTTATGGAGTTTGGGTGCAACTTTGTATCATTGCTGTACAGGATGTGTACCATTCAGACCCTATGGTGGACGTGACGATAAAAAAGCAATGTAAGTATCCTATAATAACTTGAACACCAAAGATGAAAAATACCAATACTCCAACACCTATCAGTAAATGAATTGATATCATCTATTTGGTGTGTGTGTATTACCCCCCACCCCCGCCCCCTTCTTCCCAAGCCCAGGTCAGATCTCAGAAACTTGGAGTTTGTTTTGAACAATGCCGTGACTCGACTATCATTGGCAACCATGGAGATCACAGCACGATATCTGAGACCATTTTCCGTCACCGTAGCAGCACAGAAAGGCCGTCACCCCGGTCTGGCGAGGTTATTATGATCTGGCACTATTTCTTGTTTGTATCACCTTTTAATAAAATAATCGATAGGTATTGTGTTGATATATTTAAACAGGTATGCTATGTTAACCAGGAGACCCGATGGCGTAATAGGGGGTATACAGTTTAAACCTGGGGGAGAAATTGGTTGGATTAAAGAGCTGCCCCCTGCTTCTTCTTTATCAAGGTAGACCAATAACTACTATCACATAGATTGAAGAATATCATTTTGATATTTTGACCTCTAACAAATATACTTAAGCATATTTACCACAAATGACATCATCGCGTTGTATGATGAAGACCTATTATTATTCAAAATATTAGAACGATATAGTCGAAGATTAAGCTAATCTTTGTCATGAATTCTAGATGCCATAGCTGATGTGCTACCCCCCCCCCCCCAAAAAAAAATAAAAATGTGACAATGTCGTCATATTTCAGTATGGCCTACCCAAGCTTTAGTAAATCAGCCAAATTTGTTTATTTCATGTTAGTCGTGTTTCTACCCAGTCCTGGTTCTCATGATGACGTCATGTTAACGTAATATTTAAAGGTGCGTTATATAAGAGCTAAATCTGCCTAATGTAGATCTTTCGTTTGGTCCCAAATGTTAAATAAATTTTAAATTAGAAATTTATTCACATGCTAAGCCTATAATCAACGCTCTAGATTATCGGATGCTTTTGATTTTCAATGGATCTCAACACGTTTGCTAGTGAATTAATTTTGAAAAAAAACCTGGATAACTGAGACTTTGTTTATTATCGTAACAACGATAGCAATGACAACCGATACTACACTGCCCTGACTACAATAACTCCGCTCAGAATGAAGTAATTTGGCTGAAATTTTGATTATTTATTTTAACGAGAACTATCCGCTCTTTATCTAACTCTTACATAGAATAATGTAACGTTTGAATAGAGGCGTCCAGAAAGATGTAAAAGACGATTCTAGTAGCTGTCACGTTTTCTATCTATGTTAAAATATAGCAATAGGTTGACTTTCAGCTTTAATACCCCAAACCTAGTAATGTTTTTTGAAACTTGCATAATCATTTTGCGTTCTTAAAAGTTGTATCCTTAGAATCTTAACATAGTCCTCAATGCTTGAATATAAATACAAAAGTTATTATTTTCAATTGGATATGAAAATAATTGGATATGGTTCGAAACCTAACGTTGGATCTATTTCATTTTTTTTTCTTCTCAGTGGAATGAAGCGGTTGATTACGCCACTTTTAGTTGGTTTGCTGCAAGTAGAAGAAAGTAAAGCTTGGACATTTGATTTCTTTTTTGAAAAAGCAGACGAAATCTTAGATAAAACAGCTGTAAATGTCTTAGCCATAAGACCAAATCCAACTTGGCTGTATAAAATATATTTAGATCCCAAAAACAGGTAGGATTATAGTTAAACATAGTTTGAAATATACCAGAACCTGCCCTTCAACAATGTTATAGAAAATTTCGACTTGGCAGCTTTGGACGTAGGTTTCGTTGACTGGCAGCCTTGTCCAATTCAGAAGTAAATGTTTGAATTTGAAAGGTAGCATCATAATAATGTATGATTATTTATTATAGTTTTCACGATCTACAGCATCAGTTAGAAGAACAAACCGGTATATTACAAAAGGACCAAGTTCTGTTTTATCAAAACGAGTGTTTAAAAAGTGAAATAATGACGAGTGATGATGGAGGTGTGTCTTCTATTGGTGCATGTTTTCCAGTTACATCACTAAATAGACCAATTATACTTCTATCAAGAAAAGTGATGAATAAACTACACAAACCATGCGCTTACCTAGATGAAATTCAATCTGGTAAATACAATATCATAAAATCCAGTTTTACCCCACCCTTGTTGTCGTAGCAAGTTAGAGTGATAGTCGTGGGCGTTGGGGTGCTGTGGGGTGGGGCGGGTGGGGGTTTGGGGGTGGGGGTACATGGGTTATTAAGAAAAACTAATATATCGCTCTTGTTAAGAAGTAGGAATCATGGTCGTGAGGGTTGGTGTGTGTGGTGTGTGTGGGTGTGTGTATGGGGGGGGGGGGTATATGGGTTGTTAAGAAAAACAAATGTGGCTATATTGATGAGATCTATTCACCAAATAACCCTAACTGTAGTGAATACTTGATTTTATCTTCTAGTGCGGAAGATTAGGGATATTATGGACCAAACAACGTCCTGCTAACTAAACCAAATACAATGGTTGATTTGTATTTTCCAACTTTTAATTAACTTTTCTTATGTAATAATTTACCTCAATCTCATAATAAAAGTGTTGATTTCTATTTACCAATTATTAAAGATACATTCTGTAAGATTTAGATAAAGAGCTAGCCATTCTTGCTATACTAGTTCGAAAATAGATAATGTAAAATGAATAATTTGAAAATTTCATTCAAATTACTCTATTGCAAGGAAGATATTAGCCTTTCAAGGTTTGACAAGACGTGTGTAATAATTTCAACCACCGTACTGGTTGTTCGAAGCTAAGCTTGACTCCTCCATTTTTAGCTTAAATCAAAATATGACTGTACTGTTCTAATCTATTTAATATTGGAGAAATCCGATGACATCGAGAGTTGGTTATGGTCTGGATAAGTTAATTAATGTCTAATTAATAATTTAGATAACATTTCAGACCTAAAGAAAGACCTGCAATAGGCACATTTAGTTCTTGCATAATGTATTTTTAATTACCCTTTCATTTGCAATAATTTACCTCACTTTTCATCTTATGAGATTAATATTCTTAGTTGGTCAAATATACCACGTACGATGACTTCTTCGCTAAAGGCAAATTGTCATGGCCCCGGACTATACAACGCTGTGGACACAGGCTTGTTCCCGGGTCCATTTATGTGGCCTGATATGTGCATTTGTGGTATGTGGTATCTGTTTATATTGTGTTCTGTCCGTAGGTTTGTCTTGTGTGTGATCCCCTCCCCCTCCCGCAATTACCATTAACTACTGAGACGGGTCTCTCTCTCTCTCTCTCTCTCTCTCTCTTTTCAATAATCAATTATTAACTGTAGTTGATTTTACTTCAGATGTTTCACTACAGTTTAGTGACACTATGGATTTATCATATGATGTCACAATAGCTAATATGATTGGTGGTCATATAAATATACTTCATAAACAAGTTTTAATATCCACATCTCTACAAGAACATATAATAGAACTAGAACGAAAACAGCGGTATGTACATTTTATATTACACGGACATTAGTAGGGAGCTGACTGTAGACAATTCATTTAAATTATCCCATGATTAAAATTTAGAATATACATTTTCGGCAAAGCCTGTAACATTACAGGCCCGGGATTGAACAGCACAGTGGACGCTTTTGGCTGGCCCCGGATCCATGCACTTGGGTTTTATTTGTTGTTTATTTCTTCTCTTGCAATGTTCGTTTTTTTGTCTTTGTCCGTTGTTTTATGTGTAGCACAGTCCTCCTGCACCAACTGATACATAAATATAAACATTCTTGTGTGGCAAGTTCACGGCCCTAATAACAGTTGACTCATCTGTTCTTTTGGATAAATTCGGGTATTATGTGTTTTTACACGCCAACATTTTCATGTGGACGTATATTGTCGTCGCCCCCGTCCGTTCGTCCGTCCGGCCGTCCGACCACAATTTGTTTGTGGACACTCGACACGTCACAATTTTTACCCGATTTTGACGAAATTTGAAATATAGGTTTATCTCCCAAAGATCTCGATTGCTTTCGATATGTCTTGTATCGGATCGTAATTTAATCGATTATGGCCCCTGATTGTACGAAAAACACGTTTTTAGCTTGTGGCCACTCTAGATGTCACAATTTTTATCCAATTTTGATGAAACTTGAAATATATGTTTATAACCCAATGATCTTGCGCATATCGGACCGTAACTTACTGGATTATGGCCCCTGATTGAACGAAAAATCACGTTTTTATCGTGTGGTCCCTTTAGAAGTCACAATTTTTATCCTATTTAAAAAAAAACGTTCAAATATATCACGGTCACACCATAATGATGGTAGAGTTCGAATTTCGTGATCATCGGACCGAAATTGAAGGACAAAATGGCCGCTCCTTGTACGCAAATAGTGTTAAAGTAAGTAATATCAAGGTTGTAGACCCTCTAGGTGTCACAATTTTTATTGGATTTTGATGAAACTAAAAACGTGTTTATATCCCATAGATCTCGGTTCCCCCGATTGTACGGAAAAAAACGCCATTTTGAGCTTGTGAACCCTCTAGGGGTCACATTTTTTTTCCGATTCTAAAAATCGTTTAAACATATCATCGTTATACCCTAGTGATGGTTGAGTTCGAATTTTGTAAAAATCAAACCGAAACTGCTCGACAAAATGGCCGCTCCTTGAACGCAAATAGAGTAAAAGTATGTAATACCAAGGTTATTGATCCGCTACGCTAGCGGTCACAATTTTTGTCCGATTTTGCTGAAACTTAAAATATATGTTTATATCCCAAAGATCTCAGTTGTTTTGGATATTCGTACATATCAGATCATAACCTTCTGGATTATGGCCCCTGATTGTACGAAAAAATACATATTAAGCTTGTGGATCCTCTAGAGATCACAATTTGTATCCGATTTTGAAAAAAAAACCTTGTATCTTTATATCCCAAAGATCTCAGTCCCTTTCGATATTCGCACATTTCAGATCATAAGCATCTTTTTTAGCTTATTCTCCTTTGCAAAATGTGGGCGTATCTTGCCTGGCAACCGCTGGTTTTCCATCCTATCCATTGACTGAACAACAGGGATATTGATGCACACAGGAATTTGAAACCTAACAAGATTGAGGATCAAACATGCGACGTTTCATTTCTCTCCTTGTATACCGTTTGTTTTTGTAGACATAATTTTAGACGTGATTTTGATGTCGCCAAATGTAGAAGAAGTGATGTAACAGAATTACATGATGAAATAAGACATGTTATAAAGAAAGCTGAAAAACAAACGGGAAAAGACGATATTTGGTCATTAGCTGTAGATGATTTATTTTATAAGGTAAGCCACGAGCTAAATAAATCACGATCAAACATATCAGAGATCAGACACCTTTCATGTCCTGGAATGAATTTTATATCATCAATCGCATCAAGTATCGACAGGAATGCTGAAGGGGAATGTGAGTATGAACATTTGCTAAAACGTTCTACTGCTTTCAAGGCATGGATGTCAACAATAGATACAAAGCACAACAAACGGGTGTTGACTATGATTTAACGCGTGCGCATTAGATCACTGCATTGCTTGTTTATTATCCATCCCACTAAATTGAACTTTATATTTTTGCAGGGCTTCTATTTTAGTCACAAAAAGTAGAATAATGTGATGGCTCGAAGACCAGAGCTATGAATATATTAGTGTGGCAGAATGGGTCGTGCCACTGACTTAACATTTTGAGTCTCCAAGTGTATATGTATCTATAAGGAAGTGGACAGGGTGGTCAGCCCCGGGTGGAACAATGTTATTTTTCCATAAAAACACAGTTATGGATGTTAGATGGGTATTGTGTTTTTCCATTAGGGTATTAGACAGGAACCTTCGGGTATTGGTCATATGTTCGATCCCTACAGCTTACGTTCTGCAGTGACCAGGGAAATAAATAGCAACAATCAGATAGCAGATTTATTTTCACATTTGCAGCCATCTTAGTTATTCATCCATTGCAGACACAAAACAGGCCATTTCGGAACTAACATATGGTTCAATTTTATTTCAATAATTCGCTTGTGCGTAGGGATCTTTAAAGGTGGGAAGAAACCGGAGGACCCAGAGAAAACCAACGAGGTTGGTCTGGCAACCCTACTCCATGTCAAGTACAAGCGGGGAAACGAAACCACGCCACTTGACTCAATGACAAACTTCAACGCGCGATCACCCAACCTCCCTTTATATTTTTAAAAAGTGCTTCTGAGTAGGTGTATCTCTTGACAAAATTATTTTTCAGGGTAGTCTGAATTTATTTAATTTTCTAATCGATGTACATCAAAACCATATTGTAATGGGTGCTTATGCGTTGTCCTTGTGAAGTGGGCTTTATCTAATAATTTTGTCTGTTTAGAATGATGAATTACTTAAAACGGTAGAAGAAGACTTAATTACAGCATATGAAATGTTAAATGATGGAGATACGTTTTACAACACAGATTGGTGTTATGGAGAATCTGCTTCCTGGTAATTAGTTTTAAACACATAGGTTTTGAATGCTGTTTAGTAGTAGAATTTGACAAAAGTTATGTTTTATCGAAATTTTAACTTCTGCTACTGAGATGCTGTAATCTGTACTATTTGTAAACTCGTAACAGCATTCTTAAAAGAGCATCAGTTAAGTTTCAAGAGCTCCATTCACAAAATTTTAAATACTGCAAATTCATTAAATTAAGATATTAATTTAGAACTTTTAAAATCTATATTGAATCATGTAGAGTAAGATACACGGGATGCATTAAAAGATACAGGGTATAGTAGACCACTAAAGTTACTTGAAATTATCAGATTTGTTTCCCTTTTCTAGATTATGACATTTCTTTCAATTTGTGCCTTCTAGAAGCACAAACTGTTTTGTTCCCAATTATATGGAATTGAATTTTGTAGCCTAGAAATTACCGTGATATGTTTATAAAACATTTATAAAATATTGTAGCATTTGTTTTGTATGCGTCTTGTTGTGCAGTTCTACCACAGTGTTTGTTAATAATAAAGATAAGTAGAATATGTATCTTTTTTGTAGTGTTCGTAAAACTGCTAGAATTCTTACTAAGGCAGCTAAAATTATAGACAGAATGACATCTAGGCGACAAAATTTAATGTTGAAGACAAGAAAAAACAGATATGATGGGCTTCAGCACCAAGCAGATGCGTTAGTATAAGATTTTCATTAATGGTCGGTTTTAGCACTATATTTAATTACTCTACCCAGTCCACGTTACTTGATATCTAAACTTTTGTAATTATGTTACCCAGTCCACATTACTTGATATCTAAACTGTTTGTAATTACTCCACCCAGTCCTCATTACTTGATATCGAAACTTTATGTAAATACTTCACTCTATCCAATCGAAATTACTCTTTTGCTAAACACAATAAATATAACATTGTACGAGACGGGAAATGAGGTTAGCTGTACTAAGCAGCAAAAGAAACGTCAGGTTGATATGTTACTCTGAATAGACGCATTGCATAAAACTTTCCAAATGCTTTTATTGTATATTTGTGACCACATCTCCTTAAACTGAGCAATAAGGCTCCTTCCTAAACACAGAATTGAACCCAGGAAACGTTCTCAAAACCGCAATGTGTTCTCCATGATTTTCGTGTAACTCATACTGCACGTGCTGTTCACCGGGACCAGCCCTATAAAATTCACCCCTATACCTGGTTGAATCACTTACACCACAACGTCAGCACCATGCCACGACAGCTAGAGGAATCAGGCGCATGGAAGACTCGACGCTGGCCACACTGCCCAATCACTTCCAGGTCAATGTTCGTACCATATACAGGCTTCAGCAACGCTTTCGGGCCACCAACACCACTGATGATCGCCCCTGAACTGGTAGACCAAGGGTTATCACAAGGCGACAAGACCGGCATGTTGTGCGACAGCACGTGCAAAATCCCTTCATACAGGCATCTGAGACAGCACGTCAGACAGTGGGAACACTCGGAAGACCCATTAGTACCGATACAGTGCACCGACGTCACACCAGAGAGAACATCCATTGCCGTAGACCTTACCGTGGACCGATCCTCACCCCTCGCCATCGACGTGAACGTCTACAGTTTTCCCAACAACACCAGAACTGACGACACAGGCAATGTAGAACTGTTCTGTTCACAGATGAGAGTCGGTATTGCGTATCAACTGCAGATGGCAAGACCAGAATATGGCGTCGAAGTGGCCAGCGTTATACTGACCAATGTGTCATGGAACGAGAATCATGGTGAGATCCAAGCATAATGGTTTGGGGTGGAATAGGCCTGAACCAGAGAGTGGGTCCTGTGGTATTCCAAAATCTTGGTCCAGAGAGAGGAAGCGGCATCACAGCAGTGCGCTACATCGATCAAGCTCTCAGGCCCCACGTCATACTACATTTCGCATGTCATCGAAACAACGTTTTCCAGCATGACAACGCCCGTGCCCACACCGCCAGAGTTACTCGGGACTTTCTACAGCAGAACGGTGTCAACGTTATGCACTGGCCAGCCCTTAGTCTGGACTTAAACCCGATTGAACATCTTTGGGATGAAATTCAGAGGAGACTTAATAACGCCGTACCGAGACTAAACACAGCTGATGGATTGCGCCAGGCTTTTCTGAGAGTGTGGTTCCAGGTGCCAATGGCGTTCATCAATCGTCTGGTCCACTCCATGTACCGTCGCTGCGCTGCTGTTATTGACACTCGCGGTGGACACACCAGATACTGATGTATAGACTGTGTACAGAGTCTAAACCTTCTCGTAATGTCTTGGAATTGTGATAAATTAATCACTAAAATTGCGTTGATCCATTTAGTAAGTCGTTTTCTAGAATGATTTGATTAAAGTGCCTGTCTGATTTTGAAATCGTTCTGACGTTTTGTTTTTTTGCAGTTTAGTATGTATGTTTTCTTACGGCCCCTTCCACACTAAAGAGCCCTTCAAACGAGTTGTTGAAAAAAGGATATACCATAGGAAACAATATGTTAGCCCGAAAAGACCTATGTGTGTTTATGTCGTGTTAGTATTATGTATTGTTATTATAGAAAAAATCTGATTAATTTGAAAGATGATATTATGAAGATATGGAAAAACCATTGTCTACCAAAAACACGTACTTTACAAGAAAAGATAAACGCCTGGTCCAGGTAAAGTAGAATCAATAGGTTTTTATGTGATACCCTTTGTGCCCCTTCTCTCCGAATAGACGATATGGGAGTGGGGGGGGGCTGTTTAATTGAGACCGTTCCTACTTTTGTCCTTTAATCATTTATATACGCCGACATGGAAATGTGGTCGTATATTGTCGTCGACCCCGTCCGTCGGTCCGTCGTCCACAATTTCTTGTGAACACTCTACAGACTACATAATATAATTATTATCTGATTGTTTTGAAATTGACATAATTGTTTACATTAGTGAGATGAAGAAATCTATCTAATTTCAATAATTTCCGTTAATTTCGTCTGCAGTTTTGGCCCTTGTTTCACTTTATTGCACCTTGTGAATGCTCTAATGACAAAAATTAGCATCCGATCTGTATGACATTAATGTGCAACCTTTAAATTAGTAAAATGAAGAAGCCTCTTGAATTTCAGCAATTTCCGTTAATTACATCTAGAGTTATGGCCCATGTTTCACTTTGTCGAACCCTGTGAACGCTCTAACAACATAAGTTATAATCCGATCTGTATGCAATCTGATTAAAATACAGACGTATATTTCGTTTCAGTGAAATGAAATTCGATCGTTTGTCTGTTACCGCTCGTTACTTCAGTCTGTTATATAGAAGGACAACTCGTGTTTGTCATGTTTGGCGTCACTTCCCGTTTCTTCACGTGCTTGTTACACATCTCCCGTAGCAATGATCTCTGTGTTAAAATTATATTTGGAATGTATTTAACCAGTTCTATCACATATGTAATGATCACTGACACCAATATTGTCCTTTAATAAATATTCCCATCATCATTATGTTTTTGTATTGCAGTGCCCATCTTGATGCATCGGATAAAGTTCATGGTTCTATAAATCTGCTGGAAAAGATTCGGAAAAACAGTATTAAAGGATTACAACTCTTACGTCAAGTAAGCAATATGTTAACTTCTTAACTTATCGGCATAGTGCTTCTCGTGGTATATGGTTCAATACGTCTACACTCAACACTCTTTCATTAATATCCTGTTTGCATGCACTCGTATACATATGCAAATTTACATTATACACCAGGGACGTAACTAGCTCAGAGCAACGAGGGGGTGGGGGGAGCGGAAATTTTTCTCAGGGGTGCTGTAAAATTGACGGACAATGTATATCTATTGTTTTTATGGTCGACAATTTTCTTTACGGGGGAGGGGCGAAACTTTTTGCAGGGCAAGGCATACTTCGACGGTATGATATTAGACTTTCCATTACGGAATACCAAAAGTGAATGGACATATTTGGGATAACATTTCAAATTACTTTATGTTTACACACCTTACTTAAAACTCGTGCAAACGCATAGTAAATTTACTATTACATACTTGCAAAATGCATATGAGCAAATTTTCTTACTTGAGTAAATGTTGTGCATGCGAACAAGGCTTTAGCTGTGTGTCTTGTTTTCCACTTTCTGTTCAGTCTCGCACATTAATGATGTTTTTATACGCCCACATTTTCATGTGGACGTATATTGTCGTCGCCCCTGTCCGTCCGTCCGTCTACCAGTGGAGGCGCCAGCCGTCGGTGATTGGAGGGGCAAAGCTGGGGCAAAGTCCAAGGTTAAGGGGGCAAAGGCACGAGCTTCAACTAGGGGTAGGGGGGCTTCCTCCAGAAAATTTTGAAAAACAGGTTGCCGGAAATGCAGTCTGGCAGTATTTCAGGCACTGATCGATGAGGTAAATTGTCAATTGAACGGACTTGCGAATCACGACGAAGCCCACTCACGAGCGTCAAAGTAGGGAGTCCTCCCCCAGAAAATTTTGAACAATAGACTGCCGGAAATGCTGTCTTACAGTATTCTGTCAGGCACCGATCGTCGAGATAAATAGATCTGCCCAGATACCGTTCGTCGCCTGATCATTAGTTTATCCGACTAGAGAACAAAATGTCAAACGAACGGACTTGCGAACCTCAACGTATTCCCCTTGTGAGCGCCAAAGTAGCGAGTCCATTGGGGACCTCGCCAAGAAAGTTTTGAAAAATAGACTGTCGAAAATGCTCTACAACATGCAAGTTTATGACTGAGTGGGGATGTGGGATTTATTCACCGTAGAAGGTATTGATTACCGAAACATATCACAAATACTTTTTTTATTTAAAAATTATTGGGGGGGGGGGGGCAAACAGAGGGCAGACCAGATTATTTGCCCCCCCCCTTGCCCCCCCCCCCCCTGGCGCCGCTACTGCCGTCTACAGGTCACAATTTTTATCACCCTAAGATCTCGGTTACTGTCGATATTGGCATGTATTGGACTGCAACTTCATGGATTATGGCCCCTGATTGTACGAAAAATCACGTTTTTAGCTTGTGAACACTGTAGAGGTGACAATTTTTATCCGATTTGGTTTAAACTTGAAATGTATGTTTATAACCCACAGATCTCGGTTCCTTTCGATATTCGGGCATATCGGACAATAACTTCGTGAATTATGGCCCCTGATTGAACGAAAAATCGCGTTTTTAGCTTGTGGACCCTATACAGGTCACAATTTTTATCCGATTTAAAAAAAAACGTTTGGATATATCACCGTTACACACTAAGGTTGGTTGAGTTCGAATTTCGTAAAAATCGGACCGAAACTGACGGACAAAATGGCCTCCCCTCGTTCGGAAATAGTGTCAAAATATTGTGTATAAGGGTTGTAGACCATCTGGAGTTCACAATTTTCATCTGATTTTGATGAAACTTGAAATGCATATTTATAACCCAAATATCTTTGTTAATTCGGATTTTCGTACATATGGCCCCGGTTTGTACGAAAAATCGCGTTTTTAGCTTGTGGTCCCTCTAGAGGACTCACAATTATTATCCGATTTAAAAACCGTTCGAATATATCACCGTTACACCGTAATGTTGTCTGAGTTTAAATTTTATGAAAATCGGTCCTAAACTGCCGGACAAAATGGTCGCCTCTCGACCCTCGTACGCAAATAGTGTAAACATCTGGTATATCAAAGTTATGGCCCCTCTAGAGGCCACAATTTTGATCCAATTTTGATGAAACTTGAAATGTAAGTTTATAACCCAAAGATCTCGGTTCCTTTCAATATTCGCCCATATCGGACCGTAACTTACTGAATTATGGCCCCTGATTGTACGAAAAATCGCGTTTTTAGCTTGTGGACCCTATAGAGGTCATAATTTTTATCCGATTTAAAAAAACGTTTTATTATATCACCATTAAACCCTAAGGTCGGTTGAGTTCGAATTTGGTGAAAATCGGTACAAAACTGACAGATAAAATGGCCGCCGTTCGTTCTCAAATTGCGTAAAAATATGGTATATCAAGGTTGTGGATCCTATGGAGGTCACAATTTTTATCCGATTTTGTTGAAACTTGAAATGTAAGTTTCTAACTCAAAGATCTTGGTTCCTTTCGATATTTGCGCATATCGAATTGTAATTTCCTGAATTAAGGCCCTTGATTGTAGGAAAAATCACTTTCGTTTTAGCTTGTTTTCTATCCATCTCTCGAAAATGTAGGCGTATCCTGCCTGGCAGCCGCTGGTTATCTTGCGGATTCTCTAGAGGCCACAATAATGAAGGTTGAATTCGACTTTCGGGAAAATCGAAATGAAACTGCCCGACAAAATGGCCGCTCTTTGTACGCAAATTGTGTAGAAGTGTGTAATACGAAGGCTGTGGGCCCTCTAGAGGTCACAATTTTTTATCCCAAAAATATCGGTCCCTTTTGATATGTGCACATTTCAGGCCATAACTTTCTGGATTATTGCCCCTGATTGTACAAAAAATTGCGCTTGTTTTTAGCTTGTTCTCTATCCATCTCTTGCAAAATGTGGCCGTATCCTGCCTGGTAGCCGCTGGTTTTAGTAGTCTGTAAACATATACACAATCTAAAGTTAACGAAGAATACACTGTGTATAATAATAAGTCTTGTAATGACGTGGCATAGAAAAGGAAACCTAAAGTAATTATAAGCATGAACTTTTAAATTATTTTTTTGTTGAAAAATCCAACAACAAACCAAAATTCTTTCAGACAGATTAGCCATCAAAGTTGACATGTGTTTAATGATTTTATAGGAATCAAGCAGTCAGGAAATAGAGGAAACCCCAGTGAATATATATTCAACACCTTTATTAAGAACCCACTCACAGTGGTAAGCACAATTCATACAATTCATATTTTATGATTGAAAAGAAGAAGCATTAACCGTTGTGGAGTAACAAGGAATTGTTTGCTAAGTCAACTGATTCACAGTCCCCCCCCCCCACACACACACACTCCCATTCTTGGAAAATCGGGTATTTTGGGTTTAAATGGACGATTGTCGCATAAAACTTTGACTTAATTCAATACGCGAAATGCAATTAATAAACATGTTTTGTCGGAGTGAATTCAACTAGTCAGTAATTCGCTTCTATGCTATTTCGGTATAGGTTAAAATAAATGATACTATTATTAAACATTTCTTTTGGCGACAGACAAGTTTCCCCTATAACATGCCCTTGAAGTCTTATAGCAAAATAATATTTTGATAATGTCTAGCAAATTTTTATACGCCCACATTTTCATGTGGGCGTATTATGCCGTCGCTCCTGTTTGTCTGTCCGTCCACAATTTTTTCGTGGACTCTCTACAGGTCACAATTTTTATTCAATTTCGACGAAACTTAAAATATAGGTCTATCTCCCAAAGATCTCGGTTCCTGTCGATATTGGCATATATTGGACGGTAACTTCATGGATTATGGCCCCTGATTGTACGAAAAAATCACGTTTTTAGCTTGTCGACCCTCTAGAGGTCACAATTATTATCCGATTTTAAAAAACGTTTGAATATATCACCGTTACACTGTAACTGTAATGATGCTTGAGTTCAAATTTCATGAAAATCTGACTAAAACTGCCGGGCAAAATAGTTGTGGACCCTCTAGAGGCCACAAGTTCGATCAAATTTTGATGAAACTTGAAATACATATTTATTACCCAAAGATCTTGGTTTCTTTCAATATTCACGCATATCGGATCATAACTTCTTGAATTATGGCCCCTGACTGTACAAAAAATCGCGTTTTTAGCTTGTGGTCCCTCTAGAGGTCACAATTATTATCCGATTTAAAAAAACCCAAAAAAACTTTGAATATATACTCTTCAAAAAAAGTAGGGGATATTGAAATGTGATATGATAAATAGTCATGGACACTTGACATGCTTTGAGAGTATATTCACAGATGAAGAACTTATCGCCCCAACAGAACCAGTGAGCTGCACATGCGACACGCAATAGCGCCATACACGTGGAAGGGGTTCATTGTCAAATTTGACACTTCAAGGAAGGGTTGTTGAAAACTGCCGCGTGCTGGTTTATCCTATCCATGTTTGCTTTCCTTTTGGTTCTTGCATAAGATTTACTGTTTAGCGTATCTTTGCTTTAGAGTGTTACGTTTAATTTGCAATGAGATGTCTTCAACATGATGAACGTCTACGTGCTATTGGCATGCTTCAAATGGGTTCTACACAGCGAGCAGTAGCCAACATGCTTAATGTGTCACAGTCTGTGATCAGCAGACTGTGGAACCGGTACCAACAAACACACAATGTTGATGATAGACCTCGTTCAGGTCGTCCTAGAGCCACTACACAAGCCCGGGATCGATACATTCGTACACAGGTCCTGCGAAATCGAGGACAAACGGACAATCAGCTTTCTGTAAACTTGTAACAAGTTACAGGAATTCGAGTTACACCCCCAAACCATTAGAAATCGGCTACATGCAGCCCATTTTCATGCGCGACGACCGCGTGTTGTGCCTCCATTAACACGCCAGCACATGGCAAACAGGCGTCAATGGTTTAGGCAGCGTAGAAATCGGGGTAATTATCGAAGGGCGCGTGTAATGTTCTCAGATGAGTCCAGATTTACTCTGGATTTCACCGATAGGCGTACTCGCGTTTGGAGGCTTGTAAATGAGCGTCATGCTAACGTTAACGTCAGACAACATGACAAATTCGGGCGTGGGTCTGTTATGGTGTGGGGAGGAATCACCATGACTGGCAGAACAGACTTGTATGTTCAGGGAAGGGTCACTAGTGTGTACTACCGTGATCAAATCCTGGCACCGATAGTTCTGCCCTTTGCTCAACGTGCAGGTCGACGGTTCATCTTTCAAGATGATAATGCCCGTGTCCACCGCGCTCGTGTCGTGAATGACTACCTCCAGCGTCACCATATTGCCCATATACCTTGGCCAGCCATGAGTCCTGACCTTTCCCGTATAGAGCATGTCTGGGACATGATCGGGAGACGTGTTCGTCGACGTCAACCGACAACACTGCAAGAATTGGCCGTGTTACTGCAAGAGGAGTGGTCAGATTGCCCCAAATCCTGATTGGACGGGTTGATTAGGAGCATGCCACGACGAATTGCTGAATGTCTGAAGATTGGTGGAGTAATTACTTATTATTAAGACAAAAATCAAAAACGTCCATTTTCACTTTTGACAGTGTATCTCTTTGCGAGTGAAATGGAGCCGTCAGATAAGCCGCCCATATGAACTGTTTATGTTCATGCGTAGGCAATTGGCCTGTTATTTAAGATACACTGGTTACCTCCAATAAAAACAGCAGTTGATTTCCGCAGTTTTGTATTGTTTCTGAATATCCCCTACTTTTTTTTTGAAAAGTATATCATCGTTACACCCTAATGATGGTTGAGTTCAAATTTCGTGAAAATCGGACCAAAACTGCCGGACAAAATGGCCACCCCTCGTACGCAAATAGTGTGTATATATGGCATATCAAGGTTGTGGTTCCCCTATAGAGGCTACAATTTTGATGAAACCTGAAATACATCTTTATAACCCAAAGATCTTGGTTCCTGTTGATATTCGCGCCTATCATATCGTAACCTCCTGAATTATGGCCCTTGATTGTACGAAAAATGGCGTTTTTAGTTTGTGGTCTTTCTAGGGGTCACAATTTTTATCCGATTGAAAAAAAAAGTTTAAATATTTCACGGCTGGGTTAGAATTTCGTGAAAATCGGACCAAAACTGCCGTTCAAAATGGCCGCACCTCGTACGCAAATAGTGTAAATATATGGTATATCAAGGTTGTGGACCCTCTTGAAGTCAGAATGTTGATCCGATTTTGATGAAACTTGAAATATATCTTTATAACCCAAAGATCATGATCCCTGTCGGTATTCGTGCATATCGGATCGTAACTTCCTGAATTGTGACCCTTGATTTTACGAATAATCGCTTTTTGTTTAGCTTGTTCTCTATCCATCTCTTGCAAAATGTGGGCGTATCCTGCCTGGCAGCCGCTGGTTTACTATATGATCTGTAATAATATTGTACATATGATCTGTAATAATATTGTACATATGATCTGTAATAATATTTTATTGTTAATTACAGTGCATCTGATCTGAAGATATTATTAACTGATGGACTACCAGATATTTACCAACCTGATAACTTGGAGGATGCACTGACGCCCATGTCCATTTTAGACACAAATCCAAGATCAAATGTAGACACAATCTCAATACCTTACATAGATTCCTAAACAAACAGAACGATTCGTTATTCCTGAACCAATCACAAATAATATTTATTTAATGGATGATCTTATTTACGATTGACATTAATAACCATAATATTATCATCTTCATTGTCGTCGCCTCATCATCGTTTTCACCATGGTAATTCTACTAATCTAAACCTGTTGACATCGGAAAATATTATGACTGGAATTATATTTAGCCGGTGCGCATGTAAAACAATGAAACTTTACATTCCTTTGCTATATTGTAAGACTGTATAATAATAATAATGAAAAATAACCCAGCCTGATATGATTGACACGCATGACCTACCGAAGCTCAAATACAAACTATTTTCGTTTTTATTATTATTATTATTATATTTAATTTTGAAAAATAGTCTAATCCCTATTTTTATACGCCCACATTGAAATGTGGTCGTATATTGTTGTCGCCCCCGTCGGTCCGTCCGTCCGTCTGTCCGTCGCCGATTGCCTTTAAATTGATACACAGTGTTTAAGGTCATGAGGCGAAGAAGCCTATTGATTTTCAGCGATTTCTGATAATTTTTGCCAGAGTTATCGCCCTTGATCACTTTGAAAATTCTTGTAGACGCTCTAGAGGCTAAAGTTAATATCCGATTGACTTTAAATTTATATACAGTGTTGAAGACCATGAGACGAAGAAGCCTAGTGATTTTAAGCGATTATTATTATTATTATTATTATATTTAATCTTGAAAAATAGTCTAATCCCTAGTGATTTTAAGCGATTTCCGACCATTTTTTGCCAGAATTATAGCCCTTGATCACTTTGAAAAATCTTGTGGACGCTCTAGACGCTAAAGTTAATATCCGATTGACTGTAAATTTATACACAGTGTTTAAGATCTTGAGACGAATAAGTATATTGATTTTCAAGAATCTTTATGATTTGAACAGCTAAATTCATGATGTTAAAAGTTTTGTATACTAAACGTTAGCATGGGGCAGAACTTTATAAAAACCAAACAAATTCTAATGGTTTTCTGATAATAACTTAATGAGTTGTTACTCTTAATCAGATTTTAATGTATTATAAATGTTTCATTACCGAAAAAAGTAAAAATATGTGACAACTCTTGTTGACTGCCTGGACGATATAGCTGCTGTGGGCGTATGTTTCGTTGCCTGGCAACCTATCTTTAAATTTCGATTTTTTAGAATAATTTTTTATTTTGTAATTTTTTTATTTCCTAATTTAATTTTATATTTTGTAATTTTGTAAAATATGTAAAATAATTTTTAATTTTGTAAAGTAAAATATTTTTTTATTTTGTAAAGTAAAATAATTTTTAATTTTGTAAAACAATAATTTTTAATTTCATGTGGACGTATTATGCCGTCGCCCCTGTACGGACGCCCGTCCGTCCGTCCACAATTTGTTTGTGAACACGCTACAGGTGACAATTTTTATCCGATTTTGACAAAACTTAAAATATCTCGCAAAGAGCTCGGTTCCTTTCGATATTGGCATGTATCGGACCATAACTTTATGTATTATGGCCCCTGATTGTATGAAAAACCGCGTTTAGCTTGAGGTCACAATTTTCACCCGATTTTGATGAAACTTGAAATGCATGTTTATAACCCAAAGATCTTGTTTCCTTTCGATATTTGCGCATATCGGATCGTAACTTCCAAAATAATGGACCTTGATTTTGCAAAAATCACGCTTTTAGCTTGTGGTCCCTTTAGAGGTCACAATTTCTATCCGATTGAAAAAAGAAAGTGTGAACATATCACCGTTACACACTAAGATCTTGGTTCCTTTTAATAATCGCGCCTGAATATGGCCCCTGATTGTTCGAAAAATCACATTTTTAGCTTGCGGATTCTCTGGAGGTCACATTTTTTTCTGATTTTAAAAACCGTTTAAATATATCACCATTCCACCATAATGAAGGTTGAATTCGAATTTCGAGAAAATTAAAATGAAACTGCCCAACAATATGGCCGCTCTTTATACGCAAATTGTAAAAGTATGTAATACCAAGGTTGTGGATACTCTACAGGTCACAATTTTTATCCGATTTTAATGAGCAGAAACACATATCAAGCTACGTCGTACAGGCGAACTACATGACATGATGAAGATCACAAAATAATAATAATAATAATAATGTGAACACCCACAGTCTATTCCAGACTGTTTGTATGCTCGTAGCGCATGCAAAGAGTTGAGTTTTCTACAATTCGAGCAACATTTACGACACAATTCTAAACATAGAATCGGGGCCAGATAAGTCTTCAGTGATGATTTGAAAGTTGATAAAGTACTGTTTCAAATGAGTAGGCAGATTATTCCAATGTGAAGCTGCCAGATATGAAAATGATTTTTTTCCAAAAATTTTAAATTGTAAGATTATCAGCCGAGGTTTGCCGAATGGTGCTCAAGAAAAATAGATTTTTTTTAAAAAAAAAAAAAAAAAAAAAATTATAAATTATTTTACAAAATGGAAATAAAAATACAAAATATAAAATTACAAGCTAAAAATTGTAAATAAAAGTTTAAAATTATAAATTAAATTTTAAAATTATGAATTAAATTTTAAAATTATAAACTAATTTACAAAATTAAAAATTAATCTTACAATATTGGAAATTCAAAATAAAAAATAATTTACAAAATTAATTTACAAAATTATAAATTAATCTTACAATATTGGAAATTCAAAATAAAATTAATTTACAAACTTAAAAATTAATTTACAAACTTAAAAATTAATTTACAAACTTAAAAATTAATTTACAAACTTAAAAATTAATTTACAAACTTAAAAATTAATTTACAAAATTTACAAAATTAAAAATTATTGAACACAATCCAAAATTAAAATAGAAATTAAAAAATTGATTTACAAAATCCAAAATTATTCAACATAATCCAAAATTATTCAATCCAAAATTAAAATAGAAATTAGAAATCATTTTTCAAAATTAAAAATACAAAAAGGAAATCAAAAACAAAAAGAAAAAAAGTTCGTACTTGGGCTTCCCTAATGACCAGAGTCCAGAACCCAATACTGTAGTGAAACTGTGAATATTATATTCGTAATTGGTGGATGACATTTTACACGACCTGAGCTTTCAAAGCAAAGACTATCTGGATTATTCGACATGGCGGCATTACAGTACAGACCCAAGGAGAAGGTGTTTGGGGGGGGGGGGGTCAGCTCATCGATCTGGGGCCCATGAAGCCGGGTGGCTTAAATATCTATTTAATTCATTCGTGCCGCAGAGCCCGCGAGAGCGGCCCTGGTGGTCTAAACGTCCTTGCATACATGTAGGTGTGAGAGGGGGGGGGGGTGTATGTCTTGCTCCAGCACATACAAATTCTCTAGGTGGCCGTAAGTAGCCTTCATCTCATATCGTAATTTAAATGATTTAAATTAATCGAAAGATTTGTATTGTAGTTACTCCTTGTGGTAGTTACTCCTTCTGAGAATATAGTATTACAATTGTAACAAATCGTCATTACCTGTGACTACTGGCGATATATTTTATCAAATTTGGCCTCATATAAAATATATAACTGTTTAATTTAATTTGTGTTGAATTGTTAGAGAAATAGAAAGAAGTATATTCATGTTGCTCTCGGTAGTCTTAATTTCCGTGCAGTATGTACATTTGCAACATTAAAACTTAACTTTATGTCATGGCGTAATAATCAATTACATATATTTTGACACCAAATGTGGTCATTTTGTAAAATTCGAATTTTCCCGCCAAACCTGACCGCCATCGATAATTATTTCCCCATATTGACTCCGCGGTTGAACTAATCACCAAAATAGATTCAGCTAGCTACCCCGAAAGGATATATTTTGATACCAAACTCGATCATATTATAATTGGATATAAAAAAACGTCATTTTCAGTCATAATTGACGGTCATTTAGGATTTTTGCCAATTTGACCCATTTGGGCCCGGTTTCGGACCATACGAAAAGTTCCATGCATCACGCTCTCACCCAAGTGCTCTCGATCTCAAGTTGATGTTCCGACAACCAACTTTGAACTTATTTTCAAGATGTGTATCGTTGTCAGACCTAAAATATCAGGTTGGGAATAGAACCAAGACGTCAGTGTCCTTCCCAACCACACGAGTACTATCTGACAGAGCACGTTCGATTCCTCTCTAGGCAATAAGCATATCGCCCCCCCCCCCTCACCTTCAATGTTTTCATATTATCGTCTTCAAGTTGTTCACACAAAATATCTATGAAGTTCTGCTTATTGACAGAGTTGTGCTACCTTCCGTTTGTACATGCTATCGCTGGGTGTGATACAACATCCAGATTGTGTGTCCCTTTCAAAAAAAATCAAGAGGATTCGAACTTCGAACTGTGTTTGTGTGGTGTGCGAACAAATCAAACATTAGGACGCTTGGGTATGAGAAAGCTTAGGGAAAAGGTAGTGAAAAGCTTGTCATGTGTCCAGATTCAGAATTTGCCGTCAACTCCAGATTTTGCGAAGTGTCATGGTTTCCGCGTGTACTACCAGGTGCAATTGTGGATGGGGAGCGGTGATGAATTAAGCCCAAAATTGAATTTGACAAGGTAACAGATAACTACTATTTGGGACATGTGATAGACTACCAAGACTTTAGAAGAAATGGAACAATTCAGGACTGCACAGTAATTTAATGCGCATGTGATTATTTACATTTAATCCGTTAAAAACGCTCATAGGGTTTTTAGGCAAAGGGGGTATAACTCTGATACGGCAGGTCGTGGGACGCTGAATATCGATAGGGTTCGTGCTCTCATGACGAGATGATTAACACCAAATCAGAAAAAGATCCGTCAAAATCTGAAGCTTCTATCGCGTTAACGAGCCAAATGTTGACGGACGGACGGACCGACCGACCGACGTACAGGGTGATGCCTATATATATATACGCCCAAACTATATGGCACACGAAAACAACATAAACGAAAACAAATTGTTTAAAAATCCAGTTCAGTACTAATAAGGGGGGTCACGTGGCTAAGTGGGCAAGACGCTAGCTCGCTAGCCTGGAGGTCGGGTGTTCGATCCCTGCATTGGCCGAGAAAGTTCATCCAGATTTTCCGGCGTGGTTCTCCCTTGTCAGTGATGCAGGACGGAGGGGCTGACAAGGAAAGCTGTCTAGTCGTTCGGATTGGACGAAAAACCGAGGTCCCGTGTACACATTGGCGTGCACGTAAAAGATCCCTTGGCAGTTGGAATTCGATATAAGAGTAGGCCGTAGTGCCGCTGTCCGGGCAAAATTTCCCTCATAGCACACTGTATGGCGTATGCCCGTCTTCATTAGCCCAGGTTAGGAGCAGAACAGTAGGACGTTAAACTCCATTTCATTCATTCATTCAGTACTAATAAAACAAGACTTAGACTATGTAGATGTTAGATTTATGTAACGATAGGTGTCGCGTGCTACCACAAGGTATAAAACATGGAAAGGGGGAAACGAAAAAAGCCTTCCAAGTGGTTAACATACATCCTTATACAATCGCTAAAAGCATATCTCCGTTTTAATGAAGTTGGACAGGCGACCCTACTCCTTGTCACGTACAACCGGGGATTCGAATATATCATTGGACGTGTAGCATTATACATCATTAGATGTACAGCATTATATATCATTAGACCTGTAGCATTATATATCATTAAAAATGTAGCATTATGTATCATTAGATATACAGTATTATACATCATTAGACGTGTAGCATTATATATCATAAGATGTACAGCATTATATTTCATTAGATGTGTAGCATTATATATCCTTACAAATTATATTATACATTCTGGTGATTCCTTGTATCTTCTTCCGCCCATTTATGATCTGTCTTTTCTTTAATATAATTTGTATTACCTATCTCTTATATTATACATTCTGGTGATTCCTTGTATCTTCCTCCGCCAATTTATGATCTGTCATTTCTTTAAAGGGACAATAACACTCTTGCAGGCTTGAAAGCTCCAGAAAATAAATAATATCTCTATCTAAGTACTAGATGTTTAAGTGTCCTACCTGTTGTGTAAATTATCCATTACATCCTATTTTACTTGTCCAGAGGGTTCGAAAATATTTTTAAATCGAAGTTTCATTTGAAAAGGTTTACGTTAGACGTTTCAAACCATTATGTTGAATTTTTCAAAATTTTTAAATAAGGTGTGTTAAGATGAAATTTGTATCTTCAATTAATTGAAATATTGTAAAATAGTACAATTTGTTGACCAGAATAAAGATTGGGACATATTATTCAGTTACAACAAGAGTGGTACTGAGCCTTTAATATAAGGATTCATGAATCACCAGAATGTATAAGAGGGCGGAGGGAGATATAAATCATCAGGGTCAAAAACATAAACTGCCTTTTTAGACAGATGTAAGGGTTCTCTGATGCTTCTTGTACGTTTATTCATGTTTTCTGTCACTGATGACACCTTTCGACCTAATAACCAATATGTATCCATCTTAGTTGCTGACTGAAATTAAGAACAACCACGATAGAGTGCATTAATAAATCAATGTAAAATTTAAAATTTCACTACCATCATGAAACACCTAGAACCTGCTAGTCTTAAACGTACGGAGCCATTGACGTTATACGGAGGATCTGGACATAGACAAACTAATAATATTATTTGTATGTCTATGGGGTGAGTTGTCAACATTAGCTTAAAAGTTACATTAACATGCGTAACCGGGAGTTTGTTTTTTAATGTGGTTGATTATCCAGTAAATTTCGCCAAGTCAAGTAAAAGTTGCGCCCCTTCCCGAAATAAATTCCATCATTCATGCATTAAAATAAACAAATATGAATCGTGACGACGAATTGGGATTAATAAAGAAAACCAATAGATATCGTCCATGAAGAGAGAAATTTTACAATATTGAACTGACAATGCGAATGGATTTTCTGAAATGGCAATTCTTAAATTTATTTCATGGGCGTCGGGCTAGATCTATTTACTTAGGCCAGCTCAATTTTCGTCAAGCTCGCTGAGGTGTAGATAAGGTTAGGGCGCGTGATTGTTGGCGAGATTGGAGGTTAGGGTTAGCGTTAGGGCTAGGTCCAGGGTTAGGGTTGGGATGAGCACTAGCCCTGTTTACATCTTGTGACCTTTGACCAAACTTGAAGTTGTCCTTATCAAATACTTATTATGGGCGTCGACATCTTGTTTTAAGGCTAGTTACTTCCCTTAGATTTCGTTCATGATAATGTAAAATCGAAAATATTCGATATAGTAATACAGGTCACTATTGCATGGAATACAAGTACTGCTTATTACTGAGCGACGTTTCGACTAGTCATTATCAAGCAATGATAAAATATGAAAATATAACAAGGCAATATATATACATGTGTATATGTATATTCCAGTTTATATAGTTCCCGGTGGGGGTCACGGTGGCTAAGTGGGTTAGAAGCTGGCTCGCTAGCCTGGAGGTCGGGTGTTCGGTCCCTGCATCGGCAGAGAAAATTCATCCAGCTTTTCCGGCGTGGTTGAGATGCAGGACGGAGGGCCTGAGAAGGACAGCTGTCTAGTCGTTCGGATGGTCTGAAAAACCGAGGTCCCCTGTACACATTGGCGTGCACGTAAAAGATCCCTTGACAATTGGAATTCGATGTAAGATTAGGTCATAGTGCCGCTGTCCGGGCAAAAATTCCTTCATAGCACAATGTATGGCGTATGCCCATCTTCATTAGATATTAAACTAACAATTTTTACCAGTTGGACTTAAGTACAAAGAATAAGTAAGATTATCATATAAAAATACGTACAGTTGTGGAAAGACGGCAACGTTTCTTTAAATCATAAAAGCCAACTTCTCGTAAAGCTCGTTCAGCAGTATTGCTGATATGAATGCTATTGGCTGAAACAGGAAACAACACAGATGGAAACAGTAATACTTCTTTATGATAAACAAATATCATATTTAATTTGAATAATTATGGCATGTGTAATACTTTTAGTAGAATTTTTGCTCGAGAAATAACATATTCGCATAATATGTGATATGTACTTAAAATACTTAAATCAACTTAGGGTTTGAATGACATATTGTGATATAAAAACACTTGTAGAGCCATAACATAACTGGTTCTATGTCAGCAACATGTTAACAGATATCTCATGAGAATATTCTTCAGTAAAATTCCATTCCACCATATAAGGGTGGGTTGTCGGCGTCATTGGGCTCAATTAACCAATCTCTATAATTATTTACATCATATTTGACCAATTGGATAATTGAATGTCCAAAACCAGTAGATACAAAATTAGGATACTGGTGAGAATTCGCCAGACTTCTATTAGGTTCCAGAGGGCTTACATCTGAGATCCTAGACAGCCGCGAGGCTGGCTAGGGTAGAGAAATGGTTTTAGCTAGTATTGTTATCGATTATGCTTGTATACCTGTATTCAGCTATATATATATATATATAAAATATGTAGAAGCAAACTGTCGCATTGTTATTCCTGGTAAGACAGACGTCTTAAGAAACTGTAAGAAGTAAATACACAACGTGAAGCAGAAGTAAAGACAGCTAGAGACAAATTCTAGACGATCACAAGGCTACAGAAATATGTAATAAGA